TCTCTTTGCTGGAAGGCTTAGAGGCCTGGCTCACTAACAAGAAAAAATTAATCTGTTTATGTAGTATGGGAGGTCTGTGAGAGAGAAATAACCAAAAGGAGCATAAACTTTCTTGTTTCTTCTGCACTTTTTACTGCAACATGCTGAAGCACCATTAGAACATTTACAGAAAAATCACATGAAGTGATGCACTGACGCTGTTCTAAGAGTAATTAACTCTCAATGTAGTTGCTTCTAGCTGTGTTAGTACCAGTATAAAGCAGAGTCTGTCCATATATTCACACTTCCATACACTCATGCTCAAATAATATTCAGGCTGTTCTTCAGCATTTTGTTTAAGTGAAACCAACCATAGTTGTGCTGTTAAGCATAACCTGAAAGCATTTACAGGAGACAATTCAAATTTATTTAATTTGACATTTCCAAAATGTACATGGGTTTTTAAGCAATGTGCATAAAGGAAATCTAGTGATGGAGAGAACAATGAAAATTATTTTAATTGGATGTGAATTGAACCTAAGGTGCACTCCAGTTGCTATTACTACATGTGGTCAGTATTGCAAACTAAGATGCCTGGTAATTTCAGAAGTTGGTGTGCTGCAATAATCTCAAAACACTGAGTTTTTGAGGAGCTATGACTCATTGAAGCACATCTGTGTGAGGACTTTCTGAACGTCAGCATAGGATAAGATCTTTTCTAGGTCTCTTGGGAAACAGTCAGATTATCACTTCAAATTCCCAAGGGTAAGTCTTAAAGGGTTTTTACTTTAATAATTGCTATTGAAGATATTTTTTTTCTTTTAGCTGAAGACTCCAGTAATTGTTTCTCAAAGTCTTTTTAAACAAGTATTTGTAACTGCTAGGAAAGTCAACCTTTTTCTCCCTGGTAAAGGCCAGAAATGCAACTATCTCATCCCTTGCACCTACCTTCTTCTAGGTATGTCAAACACAGGAGTCACTCTTATGGCTAATTTTTCTAAGAATTAAAGGGCAAAACTAGAAGGGATTTGAGACCCCCTAAGGTATTATATGGATGAGCAAAGACACAATCAGGACTGAAAAACTATGGCAAAGTACAGATACCAAATAGCTGAATGTTGTACAGGCTTTTTCAGATACATGGCCCTACCACACTAGATTCAGGTTTCAGCTACACAAATGTGAGATCAGAGAGATAAAAATGGGTGGAGAATTGTCCTTTTACTAGCACTGTGTGACACCACTACTGAAATATTTTAGGTAGCTGTTTTCATAGCAGAATATAGTGGGAACAGGTTGTTGTTGTTACACATGGTGCCTCAGGTACTGAAACAGGATCCAAGTCACAATCACTTCACTAATGTGAGACGACCTCAAAATACCTCCAGCTTGAGAAAACAAACCACATCTCTTTCACAGTCCACTGGAACACAGACGACAGCAACACATGGTAATTGGTTTAAGAGCTTTTTTGATTGTGCTGCACATCAATGAAGTTGTCATTTGGCGGCACCCAGGGCTGAATTAATGCCAAAATTATAAAATTCTGCATCACACCTAGGCACTCTTCATGAGCTAGTGGTAGGTGCCTTGACTGGAGGGCTGCAGTTCCTCACAGCCTGCACGATCAGGCACCTGCCTTATTCTTACTACACCCCTGTAAGCTGTGTTTGTCCTAACTCTGCATCTCCTACAGCAACCCCACAGCCCGAAGTTCCCTGACAGCCCTCACTCTAAAAGCTCGTAACACCATGGCAGTCGCCACTGAGTCTGTGAGATCATCCAGCAGTTTTAACTAGATTGCTCAGGTGTGTGTATATATGGAGTATTCCATATATAAACTGACAAGAAGAGATTATCCCACCTCCACGATGTGGTTCCTCTTTAGGAAGAATTTCTTCATAGAAAGTGATTAGACATTGGAATGGGCTGCGGTTGCAAAGGAGTCACCATCCCTGGAGGTGTTTCAGGAAAGACTGGATGTGGCACTCAGTGCCGTGGTCTGTTTGACAAGGTGGTGTTGTATGCCAAGGTGGACTTGATGACCTCAAAGGTCCTTTCCAACCTAATTGGTTCTGTGATTCCGTGTGCGCAAACCTGCGGTCTGCCCGGGGCCGAAGCCGCTGTGTCCGGCGGGGCGCGGCCAGGGCAGCGCCCTGCTCCGCGCTCACTTCCTGCGGGGGCGGGGCTTGCTGCCGGCGGATGCGAGCGGGCCGGCGCCGCCGCCGCGGTCCTGGCGCAGCGCAAGGTGACTGCGAGGCGGCCGCGCAGAGCCCGGGCCCGGGCCGGCCGGGCCGCCGCAGATGTGCGGGGAGGCGGCGGAGGCGGGGGCGGGGGCGGGAGCGGGGGCGGGAGCGCGGCGGGGGTGCGACTGTGCCCGGGGGCGGGGTGGCGAGCGGACTGGGGCGCGTCGCCGCGTAATGTTCCTCCAGAGCCCTGGAGATATGGGCGCCAGCTTTTTCCCGGCATAAACGGGGATCCAGAGCCCCCCAGGGGAAAGGTGCACCGGGCACTGTCCAGAAGAGCATAGAGAGCGGCCGGCCGCAGGCGTGGCTTTTCCCGGGGTGGGGGGGGTACGGAAGGGGAGTACCAGGGCGGACCCTCCACGTGTGTAACAAGTGCATGGCCTGAAGTGTCAGGGCGGATTTAGGCTGGATATTGGAAAAAGGCACTTCGCCCAGAGGGTGGCTGGAACGGGCTCCCCAGGGAAATGGTCACAGCGCCAGCGTGACGGGGTTCAGGAAGCGTTTGGACAATATTATCAGGCACATGCATGCTTGGGGCTTGGGGTGTCCTGTGCAGGAATAAGAGTTGGACGCGATCCATGTGGGTCCCTTCCAATTCAGCACTGGTATCATCATATTCTGTGATTCTTGGTGTATCAGTATGCTGGAGAAGCACACTGGGTAATTCCTCGCATCAGGAAGGGGTTTGGAGAAGTCATCAGCCGCATTCTTGGGGGGGAATGGTGGGGAGCAATTTTTGCCGTAACACTTGCAAGGCAATGGATGTTTTTCCAGCTTCACAGAGGAGTTTGGGGCTGTCTGAAGGACTTGGTCATCTGCTCTAGGAAGAGGCCCGGGTGTGTGCGCACAGGCGATGTAGAGCTGATGTCTCAGCCGATGGGTGGAGAAGGGTGGTGCGAGTGCATATACTGGTGCACGTGTGGGAAGAGTTCAGGGCAGAATATCCTGTATACCACACAGCAAAGCAAGGGGGAAGGTGAAATTGCCCTCAACACGTGGGCATACATGTATGTAGTGTAGAGACTGGGAATATTCCAGAGCCTTTCATTTTATAGCCCAGTGTTTCAGAGGTGTGAAAGTAGAATATAGAATATGCAGGTGTGTCATTTGTTTGTGAAACAGTGATTGAGGGGTGTCTCATGCTCTGGGGACTGCTAACAGAAATAGTAGCTGCTTGGCTGCTGTAAAGTCTGGCCCAGAATTTCCCAGTCCTAAAAAGTCCTTCAATCTGTAATAATCTAAAAGCTTTAGGATGGTATATAGAAGAGCAGTAGACCAGAGCACATGGAGATTAATTATTTCAAGTAGTCCTTCATGGAAGACTGTTTTATTTCTTCTCCTTTCTGATAAAGATTGCTTGTCCCTGCAGGGTGGAAGAGGTAGACCTTGGAACAGCTAGAGAACTCCCAGCTAGAGAGTTCTATGTAGATCAAACTCAGTGTATCATCAAACATATAGAAACTAAGAGGCAAATATTAGTGATTAGTTATTTCAAATAATTTTGGTGAACAGTTTTGGAAAGAGATGACTTGCCTGCAAAAGCTGTTAATAAGTTCTAAAACCACAGTGGTAATAGAATTTTGTAGCTAGAGCATCACAGCTCTGCTTGAAGGAATTTACTGTTCATGGCTGAAGGGACTTGACCATTACTTGTTGACAGTGAATACTGTCCAAAAAGACAGAATTATTTTTGCATTTAGGCTCAAAAAGGGTCTGAGTCAAGATAGAATAATGTCTGTTATTAAACTGTGATGTAGCAATACATCACATATTTCTTCAGGAAACATCCACGTTATCCTAGAAAACAATATACCACTTTAATTAATGGCAAATTTCCACATGCAGTTGATACTTACATTGCATTGTTATCTGCCTTATGTTAGGGTAAATATTTTGGTTCTTCAGATAAGCAGGTGTTTAAAATTGACAGCAATAGAAGACCTGTCTGCACCAAGGCCTATGCGTGGCTCATTTGGCAGCTTTTTGAAACTACTGTGTTACAGAGTTTTAAGGCAGTACTGGAAATAATTCTGCATTGAAATAGTGTTAACAGAAGTTGGAATGGACAAATACCAGGAATTCCTTTTGATTCTAGTCAATTCAGACTGATTTGGAGTGTCTCCACTTCTACCTCTAAAATTATTTCAAGAGATCATTATTACAGTCAAATACCAACTGTAATCAAATGTGATCTTCATGGCTGGAAAGATGTGTGGGCTAGTGATTCAGTTCTGTTGGATCTGTAGTTATGATGAAAAATGAGATTTTGCTTTTTCTCGACTTACAGACCTACTGTTTTAGGGGATTGTATGTTCTGTGTCTGGATGGAAGGTTTTTAGAATTTAGTTTAGAATTCAAGCAATGACAATGCTTGAAGAAAAAAGGAGGACAGGAAACTGTTCTGCTTCTTAAAAGCCTGCTTTGCATAATCTAAAAGAAACTGCTTTGTCAGAGGTGTTGTGGTGGTCCTAGCTCAGACAGGTAACTTGGAGTTAATAGGCTTCGGATAACTTTGCTTTGTCATCTCCTTATTTTGCAGCTTATTACTTTGGCTTCTTGTTTTATATAATACAGACTATGTATGCAGCAGTGGCCAACTTGAAGGGTTATTTGAGAGGTTTGCCTCTAGTTATATTAATACTGTTCATGCAGTTTCAAAGACAAGCTTATAAGTGTGTCAGGAGTGGCATTCATATCTTGATCACCATTTTATTTTAATTAGTGGGTGGTTTAACTAAATAATAATAATTATTATTGTCATAAATAATGGCAATAATAAATAATATAAATAATAACATAAATAATGACAATGGCCTGCTCAGAACCAGCTCCAAAGAGCAGTTGTTTTAGAAATGAGGAAAAGCGGTGGGTCTGTTCGATCTAAGTCTGGCTAACGTCTGTGCTAGTCGTAGTTTTGCAGACCCATAATGGACTAGAGATAGCACTTTACCTTTGATGACTCGGCATAGATTACTGATCGCCCTAATATTGCTATTACACCAAAGCATTGTTTTGTCGTGTATGATGAAACCTAAACTAATGTCTTAAAAATAGAGAAGTCTTGGAAAGTTGCTGAATTTTATAAGTTTCATCGGAGTGTGAAGTCACAGTAGCCTTTCTTCTAGAATTTTACTGAAAAAATCTGAATGCAATCTAAAAGGACCATGGAATTCCTTCTGTTAATATTATCATGCACTGTCATGCTTTTCTAGCTGGCAAAATCAGTAGAGTGTTTGATACTGCTTTGAGTCAAGGAGAAGCAAACCTTGTGCATTAACCCAGAAAAAGTCTGCACATTGGACCAAAATTCTGACAGAACATTAGATTTATACCAAAAGGATGGTACTTACTTAAACTCTTGCTAACACGTTAGTAATTTCTGTTTGGGAGGAGGGGAAATTTGGGTTATTTTGGGATTATTATTGCTGTATCCTTTTTTAATTGGTTTATTTGAACCTAATACTGTACTATTGATTTTCTTAATGTACTTTGGCCTACAATAGGATGTGTAAGGCTTTAGAAGTAAATGTTTAACTTGCTTTACCTTGCCAAAATGTGTTTAATGGAGATACATGAACTGTTTTAGTCAAAAACTTCCTCTTTTTTACAGTCTGTCAGTGGATATTTCCATTCTGTAATTTGGAATATGAGATTTTCTTTCTTTCATTTACTAAGGCAGAATAATTGTTATACAGAGGTTTCCATCAGAACAGGGAGAAGTCATTTTACTGTTAAATTGCAGCTGAAGTTCATAATGCTTAAATGTTGTTTATACAGAATTTTTGTATACTGTTTGTAGAAATAGAAGTATTAAAGTCGAGTTTTAACTAGAAAAAATACATTTCTAATCTCAATTTTGGAAACAGAACTTGTTTCATTCTGTTAGATACTAAGTGTCCATTATCAGTGGAGTAGTTACTGTCTACCCATAGTTTGGGCTGCACCTATGTATACTGTTCATGAAGTGTATACCATTTGCTGTAAGTAAATTACTATTATTAATGACACACCAATTTTTTTCTCTGTTATGTCAGGAGGTGTACTTCAAGAATCTTTCAAAGCAGAAACAGAAGGAAGTCATGGAGAAGAATGGAAACAACCACAAACTTCGTGTTTGTGTTGCTACTTGCAACCGTGCTGATTATTCAAAATTAGCTCCCATTATGTTTGGTATTAAGGCAGAACCACAGTTTTTTGAGCTGGATGTTGTAGTGCTTGGTTCCCACCTGATTGATGATTATGGGTAAGGTGAATTTTTATCTACCAGTAAGTTTCCTAGGTGTTTACAATAATAATATGATTAGGTAAAAAGAAGTCTTGGCATCAAGAGTGTATACAACAAAGTTTTACTTTTTTTCCCCAGAATTTTATTTTGCCTCTCCTTATGAGATTGCATATTTCTGGGATTTTTTCACCCAATCTTGGAATTCTATAATGTTGCACAAATGCTGTAACTGAGATCCTAAACAGGATCACAGACTGTATGAAGTGAGAAACTCGTGTCCTGCATTTTTCCTTGAAACTTGGTGATTGTCAAATGGAAACGTGCTGCAGTTTTTTAATTTTCATGGAGAAAAGAGTCTCCTTAGTCATTTCAAATTGCAGCTCTTCTGCTTTGCAGTTACTGGAGAAAGTGCTTATATATTGCATATCCCAAGAGAACACTGTTAGTTCTTACTTCCAGTATTGCGGAGGCAGGAAAGTGTGGTTGTATGTTTCTGATAAAATGAATAACAAAATAATAGATCTATGTTATACTTACTCTATGGTATATGAGTAGGTGGGAGAGGATAGAGTCCTTGTCCATAACTCCCCATAAGCAGTCAAATAGCTTGCCCAGAGGATGAGATGTCTTGGTCAAAATCCCTTCCCTTGGAAGGACTTCCCACATGATATTCTTCTGGTTGCTGGGGAGAAGGTAGAAGGAGCAGCATGTATAGCCTTTCTGGGTTGTAGTTGATTTTCCTCAGGCTGCATTTACCAGATTGGACCCAGTCAGTGAAATAGATGGGAAAACGCATATTCTGGAAAACAAAATCAGACTTCAGTGTAGGTCTGCAGTATGTCAGCATTGTTGAACTTTTAGAAATGTAAAAGTGTTTCCTCAAGTAGAGATACGTTTTGTACTTTCCAATGAGAAATACTGGCATTTTATAAGCTAGGGCAGAAGGAAGTTATATTATCTCAAACTAATAAGACAGGATGTTCCACTAGTGACTGTTCTCTTTCTGCACATTCTAGTGCTCTGTTCCTTGCTTTGTACTAGACATTGTTTCCATCCAGTGGCATGGCAAGGTGAATTCAACATCACAAAACTAACCTAATGCAAAACAAAACCAGACAAAAAACCAAAACAAAACAGTTGGATTTCAGTCAACAGGTTAGTAGGATGAATTGCACCGTGTCTGATTGGAGAAATAAAGCAATCCATAAAATAAAGCATTTGATTTGCTAAAAAGGACAACCTGGTCCTGATTTCTCTATATCACATAACCCTTTGATGTCTGCAAGACTTGTGCAAGGTAATAGAAAATACTGCTTTTCCAGTTCCAAGGTATTTAATACTTGTCTCTGTATTGTGAATGATTTGTAATGCACAAAGCAAACAGTAGAGATTTTGATCTGGAAAATGTTTTTGCTGTTAATTACTTTGTGGTAAGTATTCTAAACCCCAGGTAATCCTTGGGGTTTTTTCAGGGCCTAGCACTACACTACTTAATCTGGCTGGTCCTAGAAAATGAGTGGGTCCTTGGAACATACATGTTCTAATGATGTGAATGGGGTAATTAACAGTAGCAGAAGTCAGATGACAGTGATCCTGTGAAGTGTCTGTTGCTGAAATGCACAGTCTTGTGCAATTTTCACCTTTCAAAAGGCAAAGAATACAGAAACAAAAAGAAAAGCGTTTTCTGAGATAAATGTACATAATCAGGAAAATTATAAATCTGTGAAGGATATTTGTAAATGGAGCCGGAAACATAATGAAGTTTATGCTATATAAACACAAGCCCCTTTACTCAGTAAAATAAAAAGGATTTGCCTTAAAAAAAACAGAATCTGAAGTAATATATGCCACCTGTGGGATGTTTTCTTTAAACATACAGGCCTCAGCTTTGCATCACGTTTGTTGGTTTATACAGTTGTCCACAGAAAAGTCAATAAACTTACCCTTTCTGACAGGAAGTCATGCAATGTCTATTCTCTGAAAGGCTCTGCAGACACATGAACAAAGAGTTTGATTTCTGAGGATTTACAGAATATGTTCAGCACAGTTCTTCCTTGAAGGTGTCTAGAGAAACTGAATGTTTGGAATACTAGGGAAGATCTTCACATGGATGAGAATATTCTGTTAAAATCGGAAAAGCTACTTTCCTCAGTGAAGAAGATGTGAAAAGGAGGTCTTTTTTCAAACCTTAGCACAGCTATTGCAATTCATGTTTATTTTGTGAAGCAATATTGCTGTAAAATCAAGTTGTGTTTATTCTAATAACCCTTTTTCTCTTGCCTTCAGTAATACCTATCGTATGATTGAGCAAGATGACTTTGATATTCATACAAGATTACACACCATCGTGAGAGGGGAGGATGAGGCAGCGATGGTGGAGTCGGTGGGCCTTGCATTAGTCAAGTTACCTGATGTCCTCAACCGCCTGAAGCCTGACATAATGATAGTTCACGGGGACAGATTCGACGCTTTGGCCCTGGCCACGTCTGCAGCCCTGATGAACATTCGCATTCTTCACATCGAAGGTGGGGAAGTCAGTGGGACCATCGATGACTCCATCAGACATGCCATAACCAAACTGGCCCATTACCACGTGTGCTGCACAAGGAGTGCAGAGCAGCACTTGATAGCCATGTGTGAAGACCACGACCGCATCCTTTTAGCAGGCTGTCCCTCATACGACAAGCTTCTCTCTGCCAAAAACAAGGACTACATGAGTATTATTAGCATGTGGCTAGGTAAGCAGGCCATTTTTTATATTTTTCTCACATGCTTTTACAAACTCAGTAAGTAGGTTATCAGTCAAAAAGTAATATATTTTTAAATAGTAGCTGGTATTTCTTTCTACATTGGCTTGCATTGTGTATTCTGCCACGTACAGCTGAAAAGCTACAAAACTAATTTGCTGAACACTTCTGGACCTTCTGTCAAGTCAAAAAATAACTCTTTAAATGGGTAATTTCTCTAAGCTGAACAATTTAAAAGCAGAACAGTCTTACATGGGCAGTTACTTTGGTATAATAGAGTTTTGGTTAAATAGAATCAAAGCTGTTCAGGCCCTAATATAAAAAAATCAAACAAAATTTATATTATGAACGTTTTTTGGGGGAACACACTGCAGCAGGACAAAATGCTGCAAAGGCTTTTAGTGTTTCACACTCATTGCCCTAAAAATAATAACTGTAAACAGTGGGGTTTTATGTTTGCTTTTTATCTTTGACAAAGCAGTCTCCTGTACGACTACCATGTGTAGTTGGAAGCTGGAATCTTTTTCCATCAGTATGTTTTGCAGATAAATGGTTATCAAATATACTAAGACGAGTATGACTTGTTATTCCAAGTCATAGCATTCTAAGGAGTTATTCCAGATTTATAGTGGTGTGAGAACAGTCTTTTGATCCTGGTGTAGTCTTGGAAAGCTTCAGAAGTAGACTTGCAAGTTACCAGTTTGTTGACATTTAGGTAATGGTCTCAAAAGTTATGAGATGTGCTTGGAGAGGCAAATAGCAAGTTAGGTTACCCTGTAACTCCCTTGATTTTTATTCCAGCATAGATCCCTATATGTTAGATATATCCCATTCACTGCCTTGACTTTTCAAGCCTTCACATGTGTAGTTACCAAAGTATGTCCTTCCTTCCTCTTGCTATTCTATGCCAATAAAAAAACTTTTCTTGCCCTCCATTTGGACAGGTGAAGATGTCAAAACCAGAGATTATATAGTTGCTCTGCAACATCCTGTAACCACAGATATTAAACATTCCATAAAGATGTTTGAGCTGACACTAGATGCACTCATCTCCTTCAACAAGAGAACTCTTGTCCTGTTCCCTAATGTGGATGCAGGTGAGTAGAATACTTTCATGACAGAGTGACACATAACAGATTATCTTTAAAAGAGTGCTTTTGTCCCAGGTGCTCCAGCCAGATGGAAATAGCTGGATGGTGGCAGCCTCATGGGTGCATCTGCTGCAGCTCCATGTTCACATTGCTGGAGGACATTTCAGCTTTTCAGTGTGAGAAAGGAAAACGAGGAGAGACCATGTGACATGTAGGAGCAATATTAGTGCCTCTTAAATTAACTTAAAACTACAAAGATAAGTTTGCGGTGAATTCTTGTATTAAACTTTGGCATATGTGCTGAGCTATGCAATTTACATTGTAAGGATAAAGAGAAAAAAAACATTTCAGAGCTGGCAACTCAGTGAATGGCTGGCTACTAGATCCTTTGTGTGTCTGGACTTTGATTTTAAAAGTAGAACTTAAAACATTTATTCTACTTTGTTTTTCTGTAGGAAGCAAAGAGATGGTTCGTGTGATGAGGAAGAAGGGCATTGAACACCATCCCAATTTTCGGGCAGTAAAGCATGTGCCATTTGACCAGTTCATTCAGCTAGTTGCTCATGCTGGTTGTATGATTGGTAACAGCAGCTGTGGTGTTAGAGAGGTGGGAGCGTTCGGTACACCTGTCATCAACCTGGGGACACGTCAGACAGGAAGAGAAACAGGTACATGTTTGCTTAACTCCATTGTTTTGTAATGCAGGACAATGTATCATAGGTGTCACTGTTGCTTTAGTGGTAGCAAGAGGAGGCACATAACTGATGAACACAGATATCAATCTGATGGGCATCTTTCCCTCACAGAGGAAATAAAAACAATTTTTTTTTTCATTTCTAGAGCAGCTCATACTCTAACACAATTTGAGGATGTGATCTGTCCTATTATGTTAATTTTTGTCATCTAGGTGAAAATGTTCTTCATGTTCGTGATGCTGATACACAGGATAAGATTCTTCATGCTCTACAGCTGCAGTTTGGGAAGCAATATCCATGGTGAGTACATTCATCTTAATTCATTGCAGGGGATGTTAAAGCAGTAGAGTAAAAGGCATTTAGTCCTAAGGTGTTTCATCATATTTGATTGAAGTGCTTTTGATGCACTGATCTGAGGTTACAAAAGATTTTTCACTTCACAACCATAATGTGATGTCTGATATGCAGTAGTATTTATAGAGCAAAATGTAATGTTTCAATACAAGTAGTCATTTAACATCCAACAGGAAGTCAAGAGGACAAAATTCTTATTAACTTAGATCAGTATGATTAAGAGAGCTTGTTCTTTAGGAGCAGCATGGGGGAGAACATCCTGTCTGCCTACTCTGACTTGTGCCTGAAGGACACTTTTTCATGTGGGTACAAATGACAGTGAGAGCCGAAAACTGGCCAGGATCAAGGAAGACTATAAAGCCCTAGTGAGGCACATGAAAAACATCACTGCCCAAGTCACCTCCTCGTCTGCCCTCCCTGTTAGAGAAATCAGAACAGCCAGAGACAGGCATATGCAAATCAATGTTTGGGTTTGTGCCTGGTGCTGCTGAGAAGGTTTTGGCTTATATAAGAGTGGGGGTTTTTTTATGATTTTTTGCCTGTTACAGGGGAATGGGATCCTCCTGGCTAAAAAGGGGAGAGAATCTTTGACAGCACACTGGCCAGTTTGTTGCAATGGGCTTTAAACTGAAGGACTCGAGGAGTGGGGTCCAAAGGGCAACAGCTGTGCAATTGCTTCCTCCTGGGGAGCAGGACAGAGCAACCAGTGCAGAGACAGATGTTCATTGGCTGCAGCTCAGTTTGAAGACCTGTCTTGTTCTGAGGCAATTTTAAAAGGTGGGCACTCTGAAATGAGTAACCTCCCCCTTGATTTCAACCAATCACTTCCCATAAATAAGGAACAAGACACAAGATGGAAGTGAAAAAAATAACAGTTTATTAACAAACAGGGAAGGGGGGGAAAGTAAATAGCTTCTAAATACTAAACTGCTAAATCTCAAAACCCCACGGAGACAAAGAGAGACCCGAAATGCCAGAAATAACTGTTACTGAAGTGGTACCTGCCAGAGGCAGCCACCTGGCTGATGGACAAAAGGAAGGTGGCATCACACCCTGCCCTTCCAAGATGGTGCCTTCCAGGTGACCACATTTGCAGGAGCAGAGAGGCAAGATGGTGACAACCCCCACTGGGAAGGCAGGGGAGCTGCAGAACAGTTCTGGAGGCAGATGGAAACTTGCTGGTTCATGTGGTCCATGTTGCTGCTGCTGCTTCCTCCTGCTGTCCTGCTTCTCCTGTGGGCTCTGCCAGCATCACTGCTGTGCTGTGCACCATGGCTGTGGGGTGGGGTGGTGGGGAAGGACCAGTCCATTGGTGCTGGATCAGGGTGCCTGACCCCAGGAACACAGTGGCTTTTTTGCTGCCTGCAGACCTTGCAAAGTTCGCTTTGGAACAGTTTCTAACTGCAAAATGCAGGTTTTAGAATGGCAAACCCAAGGCTGCCACAAAAGGGAGAGGCTCTACTCCCGTAATCTTCTCTCCAGGTGCAGCTCGGACTGGGGTGGGGCCTGCCCCTCCCTACGGCAGCAGGAAGGCACCTGTGGGCTTCGCCCCAAGACAGCCCAGAAACGCCAGCTGGAGTCCCTCTGAGACAAGGGGCAAAAAAATGAAAACCCAAAAAGGGAAGGGGAAAAAAACTGCTGCCAAAACAAAGATGAAACAGCTCACAAAGCAAACACCACGCAGCAAAAGGCAGGAAACTGCCTGGGCAAGGGGATTTTAAAAATGCCTGCAGTCACCCCCCCACCCGCCACACACACACAAGGTCCCCACTGCAGAATCTTGAAGAAACGGTAACAATTTTTGGGCACAGATAGATACGGAATACAATAACATAGATCACTCTAGGACAGGATTATAGGGCAAAACGCATCAAGCGTTTCTATGACTGTAGTGTTTATGACTCTTACTCCCCTTCAAGCAACCTTGTTGCTTGATCTTCTGAGAAGTGCTTGTATAGCAGTGGACGCAGCAAGTGGTATAAACAAGGTAATCTAATAAACTAGTAATCTATGTCAGGTTGTAGAGCCATGATCTCATTGGAATTATGGCAACATACCTGGAATGTTGTCATGGGTGGCTATGTATTTTTTAGAGTGGACAGGTCTGAGAAGCACAGTGGTGGAGTTGCTCTTCATGTGAGAGAGCAATTGGAATGTATCAGGCTCTGCTCAGGGACAGATGATCAAGTTGAGAGTTTATGGATGAGAATTAAGGGACCGGCTAATACAGGTGACACTTCTGTGGATATTTACCAGAGGCCACCTGATGAAGAGGAGGAGGTTCATGAGGCTTTGTGTGAGCAACTGAAATAGCCTCACAGTCACAGGCCCTGGTTCTCCTGGGAGACTTGTACCTAATATTTCTTAAGATTGACAACACAACTTGCACACACAGTTCAGGAAGTTCCTGCAGGTCAGTGAAGATAATTTTCATGCAGTGGTGAAGGAGCCGGTGAAGAAAGGTGTGTTCTGTGCTTTGTACTAACAAACCAAGGTGCACTGGTTGAAGATGTGAAGGCTGGGGACAGCATTGGCTGCAGTGACCATTAGAAACTCGGAATCCTGCATTGGTGAGGCAAAACTGCAAGGAGGATTAGAACCCTAAACTTGCAAAGAGCTAACTTTCACTTCTTCAGGGATCTATTTGGAGTCAGATGGGTTAGGACTCCAGATGAGGAGGGTGTCCAGAGAATACTGGTCAGTATTCAAGCATCACTTCCTCTGACCTCAAGACCAGTGCATCACTATGATCCAGAAGTCAGGCAAAGAGGGCTGGAGACCTAAATAGATGAGCTTCTAGTAAAACTCAGAAGAAAGAAATTTACAAGATGTGAAAAAAGGGACTAGCCACACGGGGGGACTATAGGAACATTGTCAGAATATACAGGGATGTGAGAAGGAAGGCTAAAGCCCACTTGGAATTCAGTCTGGCTCGGGATATCAAGGACGACAAGAAGGACTTCTACAAGTTCATCAACAGTAGCAGAAAGAGCAGGGTAGATGTGTGACTGCTGCTGGATCATGGGGGTGTCCTGGTGATGAAAGACACAGAGATGGTAGCATTATTGAATGTCTCCTCTGCCTCAGTCTTTACTGCTGAGAACAGCCCACAGGAATCCCGGACCTCAGAGGTAAGAGAAAAAAGTTGGAGAATGGCAGACTTGTTTGTGGAGGGTTGGGTTAGAGATCAGATAGGCAGATTAAGCACCCATAAATCTACAGGCCTGACGGGATGCACCCACATGTGCTGAGGGAGCTGGCAAATGTTGCTAAGCCAATCTCCTTTATCTTTGAAAAAATCAGAGTGGGAGAGATGCCAAGCCTATGATACTCCAATCTTCAAAAAGGGGAACAGAGAAGGGCTAGTGGGAGATGTGGAGGTTAGGGGCCATTTGGGATTAAGTGATCATGAAATAATAGAATTCTCAGTAAGTGGTGAAACAAGGAGTGGCAGCAACAAAACTTCCACACCGGACTTCTGGAGGGCGCACTTTGGCCTATTCAAGGAGCTGATTGGGAAAGATCCTTGAGAAGCAGCCCCTAAAAACAAAGGGTCCAGGAAGGATGGATGTACTTCAAGAAAGTAGTCTTGAAGGCACAGGAGCAGGCTGTGCCTATTTGCCAAAAGACGAGCCGTTGGGGAAGATAACTGGCCTGAATGAAGAAAGAACTTCTGAAGGAAATAAGGGAGAAAAAGAGGATGTATCACCTTTGGAAAGAGGAGCAAGTAACTCAGGAAGTGTTTAAGGATGTAGGAAAAAAAAACTAGGGAGGCAAAAGCCCAATTAAAACTTAATCTGGCCACTTCTGTGAAGAATAATAAATATTTTTATGAATACATTAATGGCAAAAGGAGGGGCAAGGATAATCTCCATTCATTATTAGATGGGGAAGAGAATTTAGTAACTAAAGATGAGGAAAAGGCAGAGATATTTAACAGCTTTACCTCAATTTTCATCAGTAATACAGTCCTCAGATGGTGGATAGGGACAGGGAGTGAAGTAGCCCCCATATAATTCAGGAGGAAGCAGTCAGAGACCTGCTGAGCTGCTTAGATGTTCAGAAGTCTATGGGACCAGATGGGATCTACCCCAGGATGATGAGGGAGCTGGCAGATGAGCTTGCAAAGCCTCTCTCCATCATTTACCAACAGTCCTCGCTCAGTGGGAAGGTCCCAGATGAATGGAGGTTGGCCAATGTGACACCCATCCACAAAAAGGGCAGGAAGGAAGATCCAGGACACTACAGGCTTGACAGCCTGACCTCAGTGCCTGGCAACATTATGGCACAGATCACCTTGAGTGTGGTCACATGGCACCCACAGGGTGGCCCAGGGCTCAGACACAGCCAGCATGGATTTAAAAGGGGCAGGTCCTGCCTGCCCTACCTGATCTCCTTTTATCACCAGGTGACCCACCTGGTGGATATGGGAAGGGCTGTGGGTGTTGTGTACCTGGACTTCAGCAAGGCCTTTGGCACTGTGTCCCACAGCAAACTCCTGGAAAAGCTGCAGCCCATGGCTTGGACAGGAGCACTCTGTGCTGGGTTAGGAGCTGGCTGGATGGCCAGGCCCAGAGAGTGCTGGTGAACGGTGCTGCATCCAGCTGGGCATCAGTCACCAGAGGTGTCCCCCAAGGATCTGTACTGGGACCAGTACTGTTCAATATCTTCATTGGTGAGGGGATCAAGTCCACCATCAGTAAATTTGCAGATGACACCAAGCTGGGAGCGAGGGTCAATCTCTTGGAGGGTAGGAGGGCCCTTCAGAGGGACTTGGACGGGTTGGATAGATGGGCCAAAACTCACAACAATATGAATTTTAACGAGTCCAGGTGCCATGTCCTGCCCTTGAGTCACAACAACTCCTGCAGCACTACAGGCTGGGGACAGAGTGGCTGGACAGTGCCCAGGCAGAAAGGGACCTGGGGGTGTTGGTTGACAGCTGATTGAATATGAGCCAGCAGTGTGCCAAGGGGGGCCAAGAGGGCCAACAGCATCCTAGCCTGTATCAGGAATGGTGTGTCCAGCAGGACCAGGGAGATCATTCTTCCCCTGTACTTGGCACTGGTGAGGCCTCACCTTGAGTGCTGTGTCCAGTTCTGGGTCCCTCAATTTAGGGAGAACATTGAGATGCTTGAACATGTCCAGAGAAGAGCAACAAGTGTAGTGAATGGCCTGGAATACAAGTCCTATGAGGAGTGGCTGAGGGAGCAGGGGTTGTTTAGCCTGGAAAAAAGGAAGCTTGGGGGGGACCTTATCACTCTGTACAGCTCCATGAAAGAAGGCTGTAGCCAGGTTGGGGTTGACCTCTTCTCCCAGGCGACCAGCAACAGGATGAGAGGACACAGCCTCAAGCTGTGCCAGGGGAAGTTTAGGCTGGATATTAGAAAAAATTCTTCACAGAAAGAGTAGTTCGATATTTAAATGAGCTACCCAGGGAGCTGGTTGAGTTGCTGTCCCTGGAGGTGTTTAAAAAAAGACCTGATGAGGCATTCAGTGTCATGGTTTAGCTGATAATGTTAGGTCAGAGGTTGGACTAGATCATGTCAAAGGTCTTTTCCAGCCTAGTTTATTCTGTGACTCTGTTATTTGGGGTCTTGAGCATCTCTCTTCTGAGGAGAGAGAGAGAGAATGTGGAAGCTGGCCCTGTCTAGACGAGACAAGACACAACTGAGAGGGGGGGATCTCTTCAGTACATAAAAATATCTCCAAGGCGGGTGCCCCAGGTGATGGTGCCAGACTCTTCTCAGTGGTGCCCAGCAACAGGACAAGGGTTAATGGCCATAAACCAAAACACAAGTTACACCTCAACATGTAGAACAGCTTTACATTGAGGGTGGCAGACCACAGGCACAGACTGCCCAGGTATGTTGTGGAGTCTCCCTCCCTGGAGACATTAAAATCCCATCTGGATGAGTTCCTTTGTCACCTGCTCAATGTGACCTTTTCTTGGGGGGTGAAGTTGACCTAGAGGATCTCCAGAGGTCACTTCCAACTCAAGCTATTCTGTGCTTCTGTGACACAATACTGGATAGCTCATTTGACCTCATGATATGTAGAGAGTCCTGAGTGCAAGCTTCCAGCGAAGCATGGAATTCTGGCAAGGTGTTTTTCTGTCTTCCTCAGCCCTAATGAGTATTGACCTTCATTTCTCTAACATGTATGTTCTTATAAACTTTGATAGATAATATTTGTTCAACTAAGGACAAGGATAAAAAGAGTATTTCTTAAGAATCTAAACAGAGCAATAAAACTGAATTCTTTAATACCAAGTATCTGTCACCATGTATGGTGTTTTAGAAACAGACATGTTGAAAACTGACATAAATGAACAGTTTATTATTACATAGTTGGCATCTGTGTGATAAGTACATCTTACTTGATTTGCAGCACATACATAAACTGTCCATACTTTTATTTCTGCCTTTTGGTGTGGGTCCCTTCATTAAACTTAATTTTACAGGGATTTTGGCACAATTAGTTTCAAGTTTTCTACTTCCAGTTTCATATTCCAAAATGTAGCTAGTGCCAGACTTGAAAGGTCTTTGTGTGTTCTTTAAACTAGTGTCACTATGTATCATATCTCATGACACACTTTTCTAGTGTGAGCTGAGTATTGGCAGAGTAGCCAGGTCATAATATTGTAATGACACTGTTACACTCTTCTGTCATACAAAGAACTTTATAGATTGCAGTGTTATTTCCAATTACATGAATTCTTTTTTGTATTATAGCTCAAAAATATATGGAGATGGTAATGCTGTTCCAAGGATTTTGAAGTTCCTTAAATCTATTGACCTCAAAGAACCATTGCAAAAGAAATTCTGTTTTCCTCCTGTCAAAGATAATATCTCTCAAGATATTGACCATATTCTAGAGACACAGAGTGCTCTGGCAGTGGATCTAGGTGGAACAAATCTCCGAGTAGCAATTGTCAGTATGAAGGTAAATATTCTGTTGTGCTTCTGGATATTCTGCAAACTCTGTTGGGCTTTGTGGACATGGGCTTGTGATGCAGAAGAGCTCCAAAACAAAGCAGTCTATTGACTTCTGTTGAGGGATAAAGAATAGTTCTCCCCTTCTTAGCTGCCTCCCACACAGTCATAATAAAAGTTGCCTACTGGTTTGCTCTTCTAAGACTGATGTTAAACTAGCAATGCCCATTTGCTGGTGCAAGGTTGTAGCTGCTTCTTTGTGGGTTTACTACAGACTCTGAAGGATAGAACAACTTTCCCATGTGTTGGTTCTCATTTAAACATGACTCAGTTCAACCTGCAAATTCTTGTATATCAAGCAAAACATGGAAGGCTCCAATAGTAGACTTTTTGCTTCCCCACTGTCTTATTCTGTAAGTCCATGTAATGGACTCACAAGACCATTCTGAGCAACAACCAGCATCTAGCAAATCAATTTACTGAACTCTGCAGCATTTCAAAGATGTGAATAAAACTCATGAGGAGAAGTCTTTGGCTTTTATTCTCAACAGCATTGGACAATTATTCCTACAGTTACACTCCATATTTGTAGATAAGTAGATCAGTTCAATAACTTATAGCTGCCCAGAAGGCAAAATAAGGTGCCTGCAGAAGTATGAAGGGTTGTGTAAAGTGACCTTATACAGTCCAGAATTTTTGCATTAATTTAAGAGATGTCTGACAGATCTTCAAGGTCTTAAAGACAGCTTTTAAAAGTGTAATATTTTTAGAAGCAAAATTGACACCACATTTTTTTCCTATGAGTCAACACAGCCTGGAAAAAAATAATTTAAAGAAATTCTGCCCACTTTACAGAGCTTGAAGTGACATTTATGAAAATTGAAATGCTAGCAAATCAGAGGGAAAACAATCAGACTTTCATAATAAAATTTACACAACAGATGTAAGCATTTAACAGCCAGTGGCAGAATATGAGATTTAATTTTATTTTCACCAAAAAAGAAGATGACAGAAATTCCTTTTAGAAGCTGTTATGTTTTCTGATAATATTTGCTGCAGCCTCATCTTCCAAGTTCTCTGATGCTCCAAACTAAAAGTGAGGAAGAAACTAAGCATCCAAAATCCACAAACTCTATTGCTCATGTGATACTGGGATGGTGGAACCCAGTACTCAAAACCGTTGTTGGTTTGGAATTTTCCAGACTCTTTGGCAGCAATGACTCAGCCATGCTGCTTAGATTGTCTTTTTTATTCCTCTTTGCTTAATTGCATTAATTCAGTGCAGTTCACTTAGATACAGGGGATTTAACAGGTAGAATAACACTGTTAGGATACCTTCAGCAGTCTCCTAGTATAATCCTGCAATTTAAACATTGAATTAAGATGAGTTCCTTAGTACCCATAAATTCCAAGCATGCATCATTAATACTTTCATTACCTATTGCATGGTGATAATCTTCATGGCCCCTCCCCACCACGTCCAAACTATTTACAAGGGCATGTAGTGACAGGACGAGGGGAAATGCCTTCAGCCTGAAAGAGGGTGGGTTTAGATTAGATATTAGAAGGAAAATTTTTATTTTTATTATGAGGGTGAGGAGGCACTGGAACAAGTTGTCCAGAGGAGTCTGGCATGCCACATCCCTGGAAGTGTTCAAGGCTAGGTTGAATGGAGCTCTGAGAAACTTGTTTTGGTTCAATGTTCCTTCCCATGGCAGGGGGTTGGAACCAGATGATCTTTGAGATCCCTTTGAACCCAAACTATTCTGTGATATATCACATTTGATGGTACTCCAGAGATATTGCAAGTGACTCAGAAGTGTCATTGCTTAGAAGATATTTTGGAAAGTATAGTAAATTTTGCCTTAAAATTTCTAGCATTTCTCTGTCTTATTCACCTTTTTTTGGTGAAATGGCATCGTCTGTGACACTACAAAAACCTTTCATGCAGTCAGACTGGAAAGATTCTGTTCTTAAAGCACTGTGTTTTTTCTGTCTTTTTGAGCAATTGATACTCTCTTCTCTTTTTTTAACACGTCAGTGTTGAGCTTAAGTGCTTTGCTCTGTCATGGTTTATGCCGAACAACAGTTGCAGCAGCTTTGGTGATACTTCCTCATACGAGCTATGTGTTCCTTAAAATGTGTATTTAATTTCAGATGGGAGGTTGATTACAGTAGCAGAATGTAATGCCTAATCTTACAAACTTGTCCCCCAGAGCTGTCAAGAACCTTGCCTGCAGGCCCAGGATCTAAAGCATAGCATCTGTATATTTTCTAGAGATAAGTTACGGCTCTCTATTTTCAAATTGACCTGTAATTTATATGGAAGGGAAATTTCATCATGACATACATTTCTCTGGGGCATGTTTTGTTGTTTTTAATTTCTAGGGTGAAATAGTTAAGAAGTATACCCAGCTCAACCCTAAAACCTATGAAGACAGACTAGCATTAATTCTAAAGATGTGTGTAGAGGCTGCATCAGAGGCAGTAAATGTAAACTGCAGAATTCTGGGAGTAGGTAAGTTAACAAGTACTTTTTACATCTGTGTTTTTCAACATGAATTAAATCACTACTCATTAATTTAAAACACCTTTCTAAAGTGGGTCTTGTGTAGTTTCTTACATATTCTTAACAAACAAACATTTTTAAATGGCTGAAAGTGAGAAGCTGACTATAAAGACTGAAGTTTCTGCAGTTTATAACAACCATTAAACAATCTGTTAAGTCATAGTAAACTATGTCTAAAATGTGTCTTGGCCTTGTGAATCAGATGCTCAAAACAGCTCTTGAAACAGCTACAGCTGAGTGGTGTTTTCTCTCCTGTCTGTAAGCCTTTCTTTAGGGCTAGGATCAACTGTGCAGCAGAGTTTTCAGATACACCAAGGCAGACTAAAAAGGCTAGACTGTTAGGAGTAAATTTGTAGCTAACAGACAAAAGCAGACCTTCTGTTGACTTCTAGTTCACTTGCAGTACAGTTCTGTGTTAAACTGTGCTTGTATCAGACAGGACTTCTTCAGTTTGATGGTGACTAGGAGATTTGGCCTTAGATATTAGTTAGTTATGAAGATGTTGATTAATGTGTTCTGGATTTTAAGAAGGACATAGAATCTTCATTTTAGCTGAGAAATGTTCATAAAGAAAAGTAGTTTGTTCAGGATGAAAACTTACCTGAATCACACACTACAAAGAAAAGTTAACTTGAACATGTATTCTTTAAAAACAACATTAAGTACACAAAGCTGTTAGGAGAAATGTTAGCCCTTCATATCAGATCTTTCTTACACCTTTAATGTTCAATTCATCTGCTTGTTTTAGAGCTTTTATGGCTGCTTTCCATTACAGCGTTAACCCTGGAACCATCTTTATATGTGACTCAGTTATGTAAGCTCTGTACAATGAAATGTTTTAACTTTATTGTCTAGAGCTCAGCACCTCCAGAATAGAGACCTACTTTTCAGTGGTTCTGAGAGACTCCACCAGCTCAGGAAGCCTCTCCAGCTAGGGAAAACTAGGTTGGCTAATAGAGCCTATTACTGGCCCACTGTTCAGTAGACAAACAAATCCCTGAACACAGTTTTGATCTTTCACAAAAACAGTGTCTTTTTAGGTAAAAATCACTACTCTGGTCTAGTAATTATTTTTAATCATTCTAAATCTTGGGAGTTATAGCAGACTTCAAGACACTAATAGTGTTCCAGGGCTTGAATAATTTATTTTTGCTGTTACGCCTTTTGTACATCACTAACAAGAAACACAGCTATTAAGTGATTTGCTGCAATCTTGCCTGAAGTAAGAATATTAACTCTCTGACTAACATTAACCACTACCCATCTAGTTAGCCTTAAGATACTTGGTGCATTGTGATTAGAGGCATGGCATTCTATGAATTATCTTCTTTACTTTGAGGGTGACTGAGCATTGAAACACACTGCCTGGAGAGGTTGTGGAGTCGTCTTCTCTGGAGATAATCAAAACCTACATGGACAGAATCCTGTGCCACTTGCTATAGGTGAACCTGCTTTGGCAGAGAAGCTGACTAGATGATCTCCAGAGGTCCCTTTCAACCCGAACCATTCCATGATTTTGTGATCTTTACCTGTCAAAAGCTGAACTGCCAGTAATTCTTCAAAAATTTTTACTTTTATGTTCTGCTTCACAACCTAGTATTGGGGGAAAAAAATCTTGTCATTAGAAAACAAAAAATAGATTTTTACTTAAAGTATGTTACATAGACTTAGTTTTCATTTTTCTCTCCTGTATTTTTGGCACTTAGGTATTTCCACAGGTGGACGGGTAAACCCTCGAGAAGGAATTGTGCTTCACTCTACAAAACTCATTCAGGAGTGGAGCTCTGTGGATCTCAGAACTCCTATATCTGATGCTTTGCACCTGCCAGTCTGGGTGGACAATGATGGAAACTGTGCTGCTCTAGCAGAGAGGAAATTTGGTCATGGAAAAGGAATAGAAAATTTTGTAACACTGATTACTGGTACAGGTGGGTATGTCTTAGTTCAGCAAAACCCAAAGTCCAGCACCATCACTTAGAGGCTTAGCTGCTTTATAGGCATAATCATTCCCACTATCCCTGGAAAATGAAAAATTCTTTTACTAGATTATTTGGTTTAGGATGCTTTTTAATTTATTCAGGCAAATAAAACCACTTCCATAGTTCAAACTTCGTGATGAAAGAAGTTCTCCTGGCACTGCTACACAGGCAAGTAAGGAAAATCTAAGGAAAATCTGAGCAACTTCAATTGGAATAATTTTTTCAATTTTTTAGCTTAATTCTCTTTTAACTTTAGAAATACAAGTCAGATCAGAATATGTATCTGGAACATAAGCAACTGCATATAAGAAAGTATGCCTAAATCTCAAATGCAAACGTGGGGTAACTTTTCTCATTTATTAAGTATATAGTCTTTTAGGTGGTAGCAGTAAGAACTAGCTGATGGATCTACACCCAGTTTAGGAAGGGGCAGCAGAGGCCTGCACATTTATGCGTCATGGGCCTTTAACAACACAGGTTTGACTAAGTACAGCATTAGAACTTCTCCCCTGAAGTGCAGAATTTTAAGGCCAACTGGATAGTTTTCTGCATAAAAAGTATGACTCACAAGCTTGAAAGATCTGTCATAGTTCAGTACCATCCATAGGCTTAAAAAAAAAAAAAAAAAAAGGCATTATATACCATTTTGGTCCATATATGAATAGGAGGGAACTATGAGCTTGTGTATTAGGTGTGTCAAATAGACAAGAGTTTTTAACAACTAGTCATTCTTGATTTTTATTGTAGATGATCACTGATACAAATTATTTTATCTTTTCTGTATCAGAATAAGCAAATACCAGTGTCTTGCAGAACTGACGCCTTTAAAAACTTGTTGTCTTTTTTTTAAACAACAGAAGTCTTAATATCTTTTCAGGAATTGGAGGTGGAATCGTTCATCAACATGAACTGATCCACGGCAGTTCTTTCTGTGCTGCTGAGCTTGGGCACATTGTCGTATCCTTAGATGGACCAGAGTGCCTGTGTGGCAGCCAAGGATGTATAGAAGCATATGCCTCAGGAATAGCATTACAGAGAGAAGCTAAGAAACTGCATGATGGTATGTATTTACTCTGGTTTTAAAAATACAGTTACTAAACTGCAGTGTACAAAGAAATTTTCAAAGGGTTATTAAGAAAAAATAACTCTGCCTTCATTTTGTAGGAGGAGACAAGAATAGGTGTACAGGCAGCCTGCATAGTACAGATCTTTTTGAGTGGCAAGGAACATTTGGAACCACTGGTCTCAGAATTCCCAAAAGCACACAGTACACTTTGTCTCTTCTTTTTAAGCTTGATATAAACTATAAACTAATCTGACAGGCATTCTGTGATGTTTGGTTTCACAGTGATTGTCTTTCAGCAAAAGCTTATCAGTCTTAAATAAGTTTGAGAATATTTATATTTTATTTATTTTTGGGTCCAACAAGACTAGTGAATTACCATACTCTTAAGTTTGATTCCCTGCTTCTGCAAGTAGTTTCCTGAATAATATGAATATGATTACTTCAGCTAAACTCAGGGTTGGCCAAATTGTTCAGGATTCAGTATACAAGTAACAGAGATTAAAAGATTTTAATTGCCTATTTTTTCACCTTCTGACTTGACACATTATCATGTATAATGTATCAAGCTCTTGGCTTTCTCTCCTTTTCAGATGATCTGCTTTTAGTAGAAGGAATGTCAATGAAGGAGGAGGAGATTGTCAGTGCTGCACACCTTATTCAAGCAGCTAAACTTGGGAATACAAAAGCAGAGAGCATTCTCAGAACAGGTGAGACATAGCCCAGAGGGTGAAACACTTCCATGATTGTATTTTAGGAAGTACAGAAATGGTAGTTCCCTACAAACTACAAACAGCCTGTACATGTTAAGGCCCTGTCAATATGGAAATTACTAATGGTAATGAGATTTTAAATATAAATGTTCAAGAAAATGTCAGCAGAAGTGTTGAAAGTATCGGTTCCAATTAAAAAAAAAGATTAAAAGGTCCTGCAAAGATTAATTTTAAAAAAGGTAAATTCTCAGCATTATTATATTGGAAATTCTGGGACATTTCATTGTAGACTAGTGAATGGCTGGTTTGAGGTAACAAAGGCAGTTTATGTTACGTGTTACTTGACATGGGGTGTTTTACTGGTTTATTAGTTTTAAGTGTAGTCCTTCCTCGCACATAGTGGTTAACACTGAGGTGGTAGAGTGATGCTTGCCTATTTTCTCTTTGCTTACAAGCATGCTTAATGCCTTGTTTTGTCTTTTCACATCCATAATGTTGAATAATGCATTATTATGCAAAAAAAAAAAAATTGTCTTTTTACTTTCAAAAGAAAACTTAGTGGCAGACACATATTACCTGATAGCATAAAACTCTGTGGAACAAAACACTTTACTGACTTTCCAGTGTTACTTGCTGCTAACAGAACTGTTTCAATTACTGATGCCAGAACTGCTCTGAGTATTCTACTCAATTTCTTTTCAGCTGGGACTGCACTGGGCCTTGGCGTTGTGAACATTCTGCACACCGTGAACCCGTCTCTTGTGATCCTTTCTGGAGTTCTAGCTAACCATTATGTTAATGCTGTCAAAGACGTGATAAATCGACAGGCACTGTCCTCTGTTAAAACAGTGGATGTAGTGGTCTCAAATCTAGCAGACCCTGCTCTTCTCGGAGCTGCTAGCCTGGTACTAGATTATACTACACGTAGAATATACTAGAAGAATTACAGAAGAATTAGAGAATTGGACTATTCAAATTCATAATGGGTGGAGGGAATACTTTCTCCCAAATTTTTCTTTGATGAGAGCAGCTAATGAATCAGAGTAGTACTGAGTAGTTAGTGACTACTTCAGCATTTCCTAATTGACATATTATCTTTTTGTATTTTTCCTAAATTTCAGCTGACTTCCTTGGAAGTAATGTGCAATTCTGGGTTTTTAAGCACTTCTGTTGGTAAGCCTATACATTACTTTTGAGTGTGGCTGAATTATTTATGAGCATCTCTTGCTGTATGGGGATAATGTGTATGGTATGTAAAATTATTATAACTCTTGGGGATCCATATCTCATTTCCCACTTACGTGAAATGAGAAGTTTACCAGCTTTTCAGTTTCCAGGATTTCACCCACAAAGTAAATATGATGTAATCACCAGTAGTAAGTAATAATTTTGGTGGGTGGAAATGAGGACCTCAACAATAAAAAAAGGCTACACCTGGAATTTCCTTTTCTTGAAGGATTTGGTAGAGGCAACCAAGTTTATTTATTATATCATCTCTAAAGGGCAGAGTCCCATTTTAGAAGCTTTGCATATGAAGGAAAAAAAACCTACAGTTTAGTGAGCTTACAGCCTGCAGAGGACTCCAATCAAACTGATAAGTATAGCAGTGAGCATCTTTGTCTTCTGGCTATGGCCAGTAGTAAATTGTTTGAATTGTAATCTTGGGGGATTTCTCAAGATAATTAATCTATTACTTGCAGGGAGGGTGGCTGCTTATTCTTTGGTAGCCAGTTAGCTGAAATTCAGCCACGTGGCACAGCTGATCATAAAGAATCTACCTTTTACTGCAGAGTGGCATGGTGCATCCCGTCAGTCATTTGGGTGGCTGCAGGTGCACTGCTCTTGTTCTGCTTTCACCATCAGCTCTTAGGATGGAAAGTCAAATCTGACCCTTATCCTCACCCTCAGAGCATTCAAAGGCCTAGGAGAAAAGTATGTCAAATACCAGTAAAGCCTTGCCTAAGTAAGCTGTGGTTTGTATTTAATGAGTAATGATAGTGCTGTCTTTATCCAGCTGTTTTTTAGCATACTTTCAAGATGCTGGAGAAATTGAAAAACCAACCCATCTATCAACTAATCCAGAAAGATAGCTCTGGAGGAACAGTCACAAAACTATCCTGTTCTGAATTTAATTACTTATTTTGACATGTGACTCAACCACTGATATTCTCAGAAGCCCAGTAATGCGTTAGTACAGGGGCTATTTCCACACTTGAACTTCCAACTGAAACAATCTTCTGCAACCATTGCCCTGTGCTATACAATGAACTTGGACTGAATAGTTCCTAGTACACTAGCTAACTCTGGGATATAATCTATAACAGACTGTTTTTAATTCACTATCTCTTTAACAAGGAGTGCTTACTGGTAATTCACCTCTTTGGAGCATTTCAGGACCACCAGATCTCCTTCCTGATGTCTCCAGGAGCAATCATGCAGTCTCTATACCATAGTTTTCTCCGACTTGGCAAATAACTGGTTCTCAATTGTTTGCCAAGTTACACTAGGCTTTAAGTAAAGGAGTTTTAGCTCCTTTTCCCAACATATCTTGGTTTACTTGATGATTCCCATTACCTTCAATACCAGAGCATTAGTTCTATGAACAGGCCAAGGAGGAACGGGCATTTCTCTGCAGTGACAGTAGCTTAGATCAGGAATACTGAGGTTCTAACAGTGAGGAGGCCTGCCCTTTGATCTTTCCATCTCCTGCCATCACAAGGAATGCCTGGCTGGAATGCCTGGCTAAAAGTGGGACCAGGCTTTTGCTTTCCAGACCCTCTGAAGCTGTGTATTTTTGGTGTCTCAGACTCAAAATGTTTTTCCATCAGCTAAAGGGAGGGTGCAGGCACAGAAAAACCACAACAGACTAAAACACAGTTGAAAAGTTTTACAGCTTTAACGTCTAGTCATGTTAAAAAAACAATTCTTCACATTATTTTGAAAATGCTTTTTTTGTCAATTGGCCAAGAACTTGCTGCATATGTACAAGTGGTTTATAAAATCAGAAAGAATAAAAAAATAATATTTAATAGTGTAATAGTGGTTTTGTTTGTCTCTCCCTGTTCAGAAGCATCCTTTGAAGTTCAGGTACTTTAAACCTGAAGTTACTTTGGACCAGAGATTTCATGGATATTAGCCCCCATTTGTATCCAGTCCCCGAAGGAGTGAACAGATGTTCACAGAACATCTGCAGTAATGTGCTTACTTGATGCTGGCCCAGTGTCCTTTAGAGTAGCCCATACCAGGAAGATCATGGACTCCAGTGAGGGCAAACCAACCTTTATAACCAATACTGGGAAAAACATGCAGAAACCAAATCCCTTTCACCAGCTGTTATCGTTATTTCAGAGCCTAAAGCAGCAGGGCATTCTCATTACCTGCACTGGCAGCACCTGCTCATATTGCCTGTTGAGTCTTGGTTGGTTTTGCAGCATCCATCTGTGGTAAGTGTATGTGGTATTCTAACCGTGGAAGCCTTGGCAGGAATGCCATCCTCCAGCCCTCCAGGCAGAACTGCATGTGACATCAACAGCTTGGGCAGGACAAGTCCCCTGATGAACTTGGATGTTTGTAATCAGCATTACATAAGCAAGCGTCAGCAGCAGAGTGCCAAAAGGTTGGAAAGCAAACTAAAACTGGAGTTCTTAGTCCTGCAATTTTTAATTCATGTAACCGATATAATAGATTTACAAGTTCCTATACCTTGTTGTTTCCTACAGTTGGTAGAAACAGAATGCTTTGTCAACAGTTCTGTGTTACCACAGAATCCCAAAGAGTTAGGACTTGGGATCACGAGGAGACCAGCTGAGTTTTGATAGCTGTCTTTTTACAGATCATTGCTGATGCTTTGCAAACTACATAGCTAATCCATACAGAATCAAGGTTTAGAATTTCTTTTTGGTCTCCTGACCAAAATAATTTAGTTATTCAGTATTTTGAATCTTTGATCTGCGACCCAGACACTTGGAAATAACAAATTCCTTGGTTTTCTGGTGGTCTTGAAGCACTGTCCTTCCTCCAGTTAATTGTAACAAAATTGTCAAAAACTTGCACATATTACCAATGGAGACCATGTCAACTCTGTACTACAAAAACACAACAAAGAGCAGGGTCAGACAGAATTTATACCTGGATTTGGTGAAACCTGATTACCGTGTCCCTTTCAAATACCACAGAGACATCACAGGGATTAGTAACCATAAAACACCTGGGCTGTACACCCCTTGGACCATTCCAGATAATTATTTGGATTAGAACTACTGCCACAGCACATGGTTCTGCAGAGGAACATGCTTGCCTGCATGACAAGTACTGCTGGAGTAATCATCTTGGCAAAGACTACAGACACCCATGTTGTCCATTCTGAAATACAAGCCAGTAATCTGTATGTTTCCTTCTTAACTGGTTGCTCAGGGAAAAAAAAATATCAAGAAACAGATAAGCCACACCATGTTGTTTTATGGCTGCTTAAAACTTAACCATGTTCCACGGGCTAAGAAAATGAATGCACAGTGCTATTGTTTCCAGGCTCCCTGCTTTCCAATGAACCCATGACCTCTCCATCCCCCTTCTTCTTTACAAATGCTCATTGTAATTTCAGACTGCCTGGCTGCTGGCTGCCACCTGATCAGAAGCTAAACAAAGCAAGTTTTATACCAGGATATATTCAGCAAGGGTCCACAGCTTCTCTCTCAATACTGCATGAGAACTTCATGTGCATGCAGCTCGGATTATGTTTGAAGGATAGGAAGTGTCCAGGCTTTTTCTAGGTTCCACTGACTAATACTATGGAGATAAGCAGCAATAGTGGAAAGTTAAAGCCAGTAAACAGCACTGAGCACACACAGCAGGCCAGAGGTAGTACAACACTGTCCCATGAAGTTACAAAACAAAGTGACAGATGCTGACCTCTGAAGAAAACAAGTCAATGTTTAGAAACACAGACAAGGGAATTGATTTGCCCAAATAAACCTGAGAATTCTTTCACTCTGTCACAAGGTCTAAGTATCTAAAATAATTCTCAGACACAGAAAATCTTGACTCCAGTAGTGCTGTTTGGTTCTGAGCTCCCCAGTACATGAGAGACATAAGCACACCTGAGAGAGCTCAACAAAGAGCCACAAGGATTACAAAGCAACTACATTTCTCCTGAGGAAGGGCTGAGAGCTGGAACTGTTCAATCTGGAAATGAGAAGGCTTAGGGGAATCTTATTAATGTATATAAATATCTGAAGCGAGAGTGCAAAGAAGATGGGAGCCAGGCTCTTTTCATTCATGCCATGACAGGAGACACTGAGCACAGAGTGAAACATAGGAGGCTCCATCTGAATATCAGGAAACACTTCTTTATTGTTCAGGTATCCAAGCACTGGCAGAGGTTGCCCAGAGAGATAGTGGAATTTCACTTCAGATCTTCAGAAGTTGTCTGGATATGGTCATGGGTGGCAGGCTTGATGTGGTTTTGCTTGCGTAGAGGAGTTGAACAACTTGAGGTGCCTTCCAACCACAGCCAGTCTATGATTTTGTGACAGCACTGATAAAGGAGACAGTGAGCTAGCACACGTGAATGTAAAATTAAGGCAGAAGAGGTAAGCTGCAACAGAGTTAGCAGAGGTAACAGAACCCACAGAGCTGCATTCTAAGTGTTCCAGCAGGATGAAATATGTAAAAAACATGCTAAAACATTCTTACACTCTGCAAACCCAACATATAAAATACTGCTTTAACTTCTGTAACATTGCTTTGACTTTGAATTCAAGCCTTTGCCCATTTTTTTGGATTGCAGCTCCAAGCCACATCCATAGCCAGATAAAATATGCTGTAAGATAGGAAAATGTGGTCATCAATAAATACCATAATTCAGTGTGCAGGAACCCCCTAACCTGTTGATCTTTCAAATTCTTCTAAATTCATACGAACACTTTAAAGACTATATATTTAATGTAGTCGACTTTCCTTTATTAAAGTATCAGCTCATTTTGAACACCCTTCTTTTCAGAGCTTTTGAGTGTGCAGCAAAACGGAAATTTTCAGTCAAGCTGAATGCATAACTAGTCAAGGCTAGCAATGAGTATCAGTATTCTGTGGACTTGCTCCACGTGCTTCAGTCCTGCTGGAGTCACCTGCCATACCCTTGTGCAGTTCAGAATATATCTTCTTGCCTTCATCTTCCATGGAACCAGGCTTCCTGACCTGTAATCTATCAATCATTCTCATCACCATCCATGAGTAGTGTGTGAATTCACTTGCAAACCTGAGAGTAGTTCCAGTCATTACAGACAACAGTAAGGTACAGCTTAACTACTGCAGCCCAACTGGAAACCATTTATTCACTCCCTTGCCCACCAAAGGGACACAGCTGCTAGTGGAACAGCTGCTGTGCAGTAACAGTCTGAGCCTTGGTACACTGTAGTCTGCATCTGCAACCCTTTTCAAACTGCCTGGGCCAACCTTCCAGGTTGTACATAAAAGGTATTAAAGCCATTATGCTACACAGTAGTTAAGATACTGTGTCTTTGATAAACATGGCGAAATAATGTAGGAAATTGAACAGATTAGTTTTTGAAGATAGAAAACTAAGGTAAGGTTTAACAGAGCAAGACTAGAATACAGCTCCTGTGACTGCTAGGTCAGGCTTGCTGAGCCAAGGAAGCAGAAGAGAGATTTTTCTAGATCAGTTTGTTTCAGATTCAACCACCTTGGCAGACAGAGCTCCAACCTAGAGATGAGCAGCAGTAAGAGCAAGTCTTCCCTTCTCCTGCTCCCTAGCTCTCCAGTTCAACACTAGTGGGAGGAAATGTCTGCAAAGGTCAGTGAGGACAAGGACACAGTTCAAAAACATCCAAACAGCCTCTACACCACAGATTTTTGGATATGAAGACAGCATTGAAAACCTAGTGGAACAGAACAAGCAGTAGAATACCAGAGGTCTTAATTGCTCACTGCCCTCTCCTATGTGCTGAGCCTCAGACAGGCAACCAGAGTGACAGCAGAAAACTATACAGAACTACCTACCTGCAGAAGGCAGTGTCCTCAGTCCCACTGGAAGCAAGATAAGCCCCTTAACAAGCCTGCTGTTTTAGTTTTCTTGAGCTGCTGTCTAATGTGATAAATTGGATAGGGGAGAAGTTTTTAAACTAAAGCTCTCAAGAGCTTTAAGAAAGCTTAAAGAAACAAGCAGGAGAGACTTGCAGAGACCAGAAGCACTGCCAGCTGGACATTCAGCACCAAAGTGAAATCATTAGCAATCAAGAGAAATGTTTACCCACACTTAATTCAAAAATCCTCTGTCAAAAGGAAGCAGGAGACCTCAGTTCATCCAAAGTCAACACATTTTGCTGTTTAATAGATCTTTATTTTCAGTAATGTGGGAAGTGACACCTCAGTGCACAACAGCACAGAGACTACAGATTTGGAGGTTCTCCCATTCCAGACATAGAAAGGAAACATCAGGAATAACATGCAATCAAACAATGATCAGCTCTAGATACATCATGATGTGGTCCAAAAAAACACATTGAAACAATTAATCAAACACAACTTCTCTGAGTAAGGTTAAGATATTGCATTTGTAGTGTTTCCATCGAGCTTTGCTTCAGCGAACCAGCGGAGCCTGCTTGAGCGAAATGAGGACTGAACGCATGCGGGACACATCTTTTGCCTGCTTACTAGACTTGGGATTAAAGTCACAGAGCTGAGCCACACGTTCCCACTCAGAGCCCGGAAAAACTTCTTCTGCATCGTTCATAAAGGCTTCTTCAGCTGCCCTAAAAGCAACGCAATGCACCTTGTGTTAATGCCCAGCATATAAGGCACTCCTTCCCTCTTACAGGATGCAGTTTCTTTCAGCATGTTTCATAAAGAAATGTGACCTGACAGCTGCTTGTGGACATTATGGCCACATAAGCTCCCACTGCCCCAATCCTGGAGATGAAAGTAGATTGCAGTAGTATGCTATGCACAAGCAGTGCAGAGGATTGCAGAGGATTGTGTAAAATGTTGGAATACAGGTGTTTGGTTTTAAGAATAGTTATTGAGTCTTGGCCTAAGGAGTCGCCACACAAGCTTCCAAGAAGTAAGGTACTTCTATGTAGGTGTTTTATTTATGGAGAAATGCCCAGGTCTTAACTAGTTAAGCCTCTGCCACTTGTTGGCTTATACTGGACATTTGCCAACTGGAAATTTACAACTGCCTGCAAGCATGTCTTAAACAAATTCCATCTGAGGATTTAAATCAGCCCCAAGGCCTACAGACCATCATAAAACTATCTGCTGATGATTCTCAATGCTGTAGTGAAGCAGTATGAATCATAAGGAATTTAAGTCACAAATCCCATGCTTGTGAGTGCAATAGGCTACAGCATATCTTGGCAGAGGAGATGACTTATTTGAGGTTACATCACAGAACAAATGTATTTCCCCTGCTCTCACCCTAAGGAGACTCTAAGGAGGCTTTGTACATTATGTACTGGGTAGTGCCAGTGGCTTCACAGCTGTATTATTTTTGTTTTTCTGTGCTGCCAATAGCATTGCTTCAATGCAGGGATAACTCTCCAGCATCTAGTTTACATGAACTGTGGGGCCCTGGTAGCTGCCTGAGTGCAGAAGCAGTAAGCATCAAGAGATCAAACCAAATCCATCTACTCCAACAAGCAGGACAGAGAAAGCAGTGAAAATGACTCTCCCATGAGGGTTCAGCACTATTCACAGGGATGATAAGGTTACAGACACCACTGAAGACAAGGATCACTACAACACTGCTACTTTATGTGACATGACACTTTAGGGGGCAGTGAAGATTTTTTTACTTAACTGTTCTAGGCTGTAGCAAGGATGATTTATGTTTGTGCTTAAAGGTGAAGAGAAGAAAAGAAACAAGGAGAGAAAGTTTAAGTCAGATATAGAAAATGAGAATGAGTTTAATGCAGATGATTAGCTGGCTGAACATGCACTAGTAGCTTAGCCTACATTCAGGAAACAGGCAGCCAGTTTTATTTTGCAGCACTTACACTGCACATTTGCATTGGACATATGAAAATAAGGATTTTATTGAAAAAAATCTAACAAAACCAACTCCAGGAGACTTCAGAAGAGTTAAACACCACCTGTAAATCCATCATTTCACAAGTCTTGGTTTACATCCACCTATAGTTAGCTGTGAATTTCACACCAAACCTTCAATATTAATGTACTCAAAGCCATAACACGGCTCACCAGTACACCTTCTAAAGGTGTCACCTTAGAATCTGTGACATGTCCATCTTTCAATTCAAGTCTACAAATTAAGGGAAGAAAGTAAAATACATAAACAAGCCAATGAACATTGCAATCCTTCTACCTCTCAGAAACTAGCATACTCACTGGGGCTTGAAAGTCATAGCTCTGTCTTCACTGACCTACTAGGCTGGCAAAACATCCGCACGGCTCCTAAATGTCTTCCTAGCAGTTTACACTGATTTTCCAATACCACCTTCCTGTACTTTCCATCTGTTCTCTAACAGCCTCCTATTTCTGTATGCACGCATATTTTCAACACTGATTTATATCAGGCAATTCCTTTCTATCTTCCTTGGCTTGTGACCCTCTACATGCAAGCATTGCTTGAAAATTTGTCTGATATGTAGGCAAAGCAGGTGGTGACTGCCTATTACAGAGTTAAACATTGCTTCTCTGTGGAAGGACTAAATACAGCACCCATGTGAAACTGCAGGCACTAGCCCACACCCCAGCAAAGTGTCTTGCTAAGCAATGTTCACTGGCCTGGAAACAACTGTTAACCCTTAGGTCTCAAGACTACTGAAGTCATTACCAAAATTCTAGTGTTATGTACACCACATGACTTAATCTGAAAGTGCTAGGCTTTATGCAGTGCATACAGGAGAACTGCACTTAATACTGCAGACTAGAAGCAGTCCAATAAGTTCAGAAGGGACCCTCAGACATTCAGCACTGTTTCTGATCCTGCTTATTATTGTGTTGACTAGCAAACAGAATTAGTAGTTAAGCAACATACACATAACCAATCACGTCAGCGAAGGGTTGTTTGTAGAAAGCTTCATCTGCCACCCTAGGTAGCAAGTAGTCCAACAGGCAGGCAAGCAGGCAGGAGAAAAGAGATAAGGATGAGAAGTACAGAACACAGCTGGAAGCAGTTTTAACAAGCACATTAACCTTGCATCACCTAGACTTACTGTAACAGGAAAGCAGTAACCACATGGAATGTATCAATTAGGCCATTGGTCAGAGGGGAAACACAGAAATCCTGCTACATTCTAGAAGTTCGGACCAGCTAGTTGAGGGCTAGAGGAGCCCCAATGTTAACATTAGACTACTCCCAGAGGATAGAAACTACCATCAGGCAAGAGATCTCACCAGGGTGACAAGAATGCCAAAGACTTCTGTGCAACACTTGTTTAATGAGCCCTGCTCCAGACTCCATATGCTGCACTCTAACACTGGCCATAATAAAGCTATGAGGTATCATGAGCTCTGGCCACCAACTAGAACAGTACTAATCCAGTTTCCCTTTCTTGGTCCAACCAAAAGGTAGTGAATTCCTCAATGAATGGAAGTGGCAAATCTGTAATTATGACGATAGTGTACGCCTCCTTTCTTCCTTTACAAATTAGGGTAGTCTACCTAGGACTTTACTTAATAAAGCCAGACCTGATGGCCATTTTGATAAGAAAAGCAGTATTTCAAAAAAACAATGAACAAAAACACCCAACAAAATTAAGAAAACAGCAGTTCATCTTGAACCCTTGAGTTCCTAAAATATAAAGCAGTCTTGATGATTACCTGAGCAGAATGGCGTAGAGATTTAAGAGGCATGAAGTCAGTTCTATCACATTTACCTTCATGCAGCTTGAAGTCACAATTCCACAGGGAACTTCTAAGAAAGTGTAAGAGCTTACTATTCCAGCAACCAAGTCATCGCTTTCTGCCACAGGACCCATAATTAGACAATTCAAACCACTACAGACACAATCAGCATTTAGTTTTTCACTAGTAGAACTCAGTCATGTTATTTCTGAACTGCTTCCAAAAAGAGCAGCAAAAGCTTTTAAGATATTTAATGAAATGACCTGTAGCAAAGATTAACTAGAATGCCACTTCCATATGTTCTAAAGTAAGTAAGTAAGAATGCTAATCTCAGGGTAGGTCATTGCAGACACTGAAGGCCTGTGCAGCTGGGAGCATGACAGCAAGTGAGTAGAGTAAAATATTTTCTGGCCATGTTCAAGCTTTATGTCCTAAGGAATCTAGGAATACTTGATCATCATCTTAATGCTTCCTGGATATTAAATCTAGATTATTAAGAAAACTTAAAAGGATAGATAGTTAGGAGCGTTTACTTTAATGATCTGAAGGACTACTGCCTTAAGACATACAAGAAGTATTCTAACCTCCTTTCCCAATTATTTGCATAATTCTTCTGATGGCTGGAGAAACTTTACCTGTTACTGGCTTTTGTTTTCTCAAGCTTTTCATCTTGCCTTGCATACCACTCTTCCAACTCTTTTATTGCTTTCTCTTTCCATTCTGCTTCCTGCTTTCGTGAGTTTGCATCTGAAAATTTAAGAATTGTTTTGTCAGTCATGTTTGTATCCAAACTCATCTTGCAAATACTTCAACTGATGGTTCAGGGTGCACTCTAGTAACTGTTTGCAGTTACTTCACCAACTCAGGTAAGGGTTAGGAGATTTCCTGATTTAGGTTATGAGAACTCTAAATACTATAAACATTCAAAGGATTAGCTAAATAGAATTCCTGTGCTGCATAACTGGGACAGTCCACTTCAGTTTAGGATAGGCATTTTGCAGAGCAGTTCAGATTCAGTAAATCTGCTGGTCTGCAAACTGCTCAAGTCCCCCAGAAACAGTCACCTTGCTATGCCAGTGCTGGAACAAAGTTTAGTAAAGCCTTTATGCTTAAACAAACTGAAAGAATCTAGCACTCCACATACTTTTACACACAACCTATAGTTCAGGACAACCTCATCTGTTGTAACTAGTCCAAAAGAGGAACAAAAGGGTCAGCTCTATCCAGAATTACATTTTACAGAAGGTTCTGTCCTAACAAGTTCAAGCAAAGGCTCCTCTACCATGCAAGTGGGAAGCACACCAGTTTGTAGTCTCTTAAATACTGTCCATGTGTAGGTACCACTGCATTTGACAGCTGTATTTAGTTTATTTAATAATCCATTACTTTCTTAATTTAGTTATTAGATTAAGATCCATGTGACAACAGATGGCCTCAGCAATTACAAAATGAGTAATCTTTATCCTTTGAAATAAACTACTAATGCCTGCAGTATTTATTATCATCTTTTTAGATTACAAAAGCAGTTCATTTTCTGTCAGCTCATCTGTAAGTAACGGTTCAGAGAGTCGCTTGCTGACTCTCATACCAGTATTAAGTCTGCTTACTAGAAGACTCATCCAGGCTTGCTCCTTGAACTCAGGAAACATGTTAAGATTCCGAAGAGGCAGTGCCATGGTTCAGAATTCTACTGTTTAAGAATCACAGAATGGCTTGAGTTGGAAGAGGCCTTAAGCATCACTTAGTTCCACCTCCTCTGCCATGGGCAGGGACACCTTCCATTAAACCAGACTGCTCAAAGCCCCATTCAGCCTGGGATGGGGCATCCACACCATCTTTGGGCAACCTGTGCCAGTGCCTCACCACCCTCAGCACAAAGAATTTTTTCCTAATGGCTAATCCAAACCTACCCTCTTTCTATTTAAAGCCATTACCCACCCCTTGTAAACTACACACCCTTGTAAAAATTCCCTCTCCAGTTCTTCTGTAGGTCCCCTTTAGGTACTGGAAGATTGCTCTTCTCCAGGTGGAACAACCCCAACTCTCTCAGCCTGAGAGAAGCTGACATTAAGTTACTCAACAAATACCCTGCTTACCAAGTTGCTCCAGGCGCTCCTTTTGCTCCTCTCTCCACTTACGAATACTTTCTGGTTCCGACTGCAGTCTGTCTACTTGGGAGATGGCAGCATAGCAGTGTGTGGGACCATTACTCTCCTTGGAGGAAAGAAACAGTAAAGTCATTTGTGCATAACAAGCGAGTATTTCAGATAACTGCCTGCCAGCTACCTAAAATTAGACTATATTTGAACTGAACCAGTAACACATTCATTTGATGTTATAACATATTTCCACCATTAAAAAGATCTTGCTACAAATTACAGCAAAACTGAAAGAAATTAACACAGGACTTCCTCCAGAAATCAGGGATCAAACAACAGTTCAAGACAACTAGAAATACAAGTACCACAAACACTTAGTGTCAGAACACTAAGGCTGCAAAACGCAGAAGATAATGCCTAGCACCTCACTACACACTTTTAGGCCAGATATTCTCCGAGTTCATCTCACCTTAAATATTTGCTGCGAAAGTAATTTTCTTTCTGGATTTGTGCACAGGAGAATAAAACATTCTTTACAGCTTATTTGTCTACTTCAAGAGACATTTCCATACCACATTACAAAATTTGGATTGCTGTATGCAGCTTATAACACAAGAGGCATTTCAATATTTAACCATCAGAACAGTAAGAGTACTAGCATCCTTTTCACAAATGTAACATATCAAAGGCTTGAAATTAATTAATATAGAAGATTTACAAAGCTAATTAATATCGTGCTATTTGCTACAGAAGATACTCTAAAGTTTAACAAATTTTATTGCTTCATCCTACCCCTAACAGAGTTAAGAATTACCACTCCTAAAAGTAGCAGGTCAACTGCAGCTGACCACAGATTTGGCTGTGTCTTGTCCCTCTCTGGACCTCCCGTAGCCCTCAATGAAGGAATAATGCAAAGGGAAGACATTAAGCTGGTGCAACACGACCAGGCTTCACAGTTAATCCTAAGCAAAATAAACGGGCCAGCTAGTTACAGGCAGGTAAAACGTAAGTTATGCATAGCCCATTCAGTCTCTTCTTTCTCATTAAGAGGAAGCTCTGTCAACCAAAGCAACTGGTCTCTTAGAATTCCAAAATCAAGATATCTAAAGAGGGAAATCTACCTTCTGTTGTACAAGGAAGTGCAAAGGACCTGTAAAATACAACTTGTCCCATTAATCTCACAGTAATGCTGAGGATATAAGCAGCAGTGAAAGCTGTTTGTGTCTCCACAAGGCTCAGCATTCACTTAAAACTCTGAGGAGAAGTACATTGCTCATATGCTGCTTCCTTCCCAAGCATTCATTTAATCAATGCTAATGAGCCAACTGTGACACCAGGCAATGACTATGCCTTGGACAAACTGGTGTGAAATTCAGTTACAACAAAGTGATTGCCTTAGCATGCCTCATTCCTCCCTGACACCAATAAAGCAGGTATCTCCTCCTTTTGTCATTACCATGGCTAACATGTTTTCATACTTCGATTGAGCTTTTTAGCCATCAGCTTAATTTCATGCAATTTCATGTCACTAAGAAATGTATAGTGTTTTCAGTCCTTGTAAGACCATCTTGATAAGACAACCAGGGCACATGAATCACCTTAAAAGAGCAAGCAAATCTGAAAACTCTGCTTTAAACTAGATAATCAGAGCCCACTTTCAGTTTAGCAGCCAGAGAAAGTCAATGTAAAGTCATATCACAAAGCCTATCAGTCTGCTTTACATTGCTTATGTACTGTTAAGCCATATTTCAAAATGTACTGTTGCTCTAAGTTGCCTCTAAGTTCAGAGGATGGGAATAATCAAGAACACTGACAACTTTATGAGATGAGCTACCAGAACAGAAGACACCCCTCAGCTTTGAGACAAAATTACTTTAAAGGCAAGAAATAGGAAGTATTAGTCTACATTAAGATAAAGTTCTCAGAGTAGAACAGCACATTCTAAGTACAGAATACTTCTATCTTACCTGATAGACATCCCCGTTAACCACTCCATCAACAGCATCTGTAAAGAGGTGACTTGTTTAGTCATTTGAGAAAAGACAGAACAGCTAGATTTACTGATTTCTGTAACTTGTATGGAAAGCTTCACTGGAGTACGTAATGTGGGAGTTGTGAAAGTGAATATTACTTGATACCCTGCAGGGACACTTCCTTCTCCCTGCACTTTTCTCACCAGGCATGAAAAACCAAATGAGCCACCATTCTGCAGAACCAGAAATACAAGGTTATTTCTGCATCATGAGCTCTTGCTTCTAACAACATAAACAGCAGAGCTGATACTGCTGAGAGGCTGCTACAGACTGCATTCTAAAGCTACTCCCATTTTGTCCTCCCTCTCTTAGAAGCTGACTACTATACAACTGTTCTGGAGTTAAGAAGGATGGTTACCACTTTTTTAGTGTCTACCTGGAATATTAACAACCCTGCAGTCAACAATTGGTAATTCTTATATCTTATTATAGTGTTGTTATCTCCTAATTAGTTCAAAAGATACAGCTAACATTCTTCGCAAAGTCACCTTTCTGTTACTATCTGTGATGAGATGCTTCATAGCTTCCTACTTCAGTTGCAGCAGTATTATCTCTGAAGTGACAGTGGCAATAGAGCCTCAGGAACAGGCTCAGGTACAAATCTTTGCCATAGAACCCTAAAATTTCATATTTTTAAAACACAGTCGTAGGGAAACGTGCCAGTTGTAAGTCAAACTTTTAAGTTTTTGAAACTATTTAAACCTCCGAACTATACAAAATACACCAAGATTTTCAAGAACTGCTAAATCTCAGCAGGGCATCTCTCTGGAGCAGCGCCATGTAACATCTGTCCGCATGCAATGCCGAGTAGTTACATGTTGTTCCTCATGCCACCATGGATAAATCTATCATGCAGGAGTGTTTCCACCATCATACCCCCCTCAGTGAAAGAAGTGATTGTACCAAACAGTAAGCAGAAAAATCAAATTATTTTGCACTACCTTCTTAAAAAAGATAGCCGATTGCCCTAAAACTAAGCAAGTTATGCTGCTGTATCCTCTTGTTTGTGGCTAGGTATGCACCAGTTTCATAGTACTAGTGAATGGCACATAGGAATTTCTACATACTCCTTTATCAGGAAACTAGGCAAGTGTTTTAAGTCTTTATCTCTGAGCCCTGAAGAGCAATCATTAGCTGTGTAATGCAGAGAACTGTAAATTCATTAGTTCAAGAATGGCAGTTAAGTTGGAGGATACTAGTCCCCAAGAACATAGTTACTAACTTTCGCAGAGGAAAACTCAAATTAAGAAAAAATAGCTTTTCAGTTATGAGAAACTGGTATTTTATAACTAGACTCCCATAACTGAGAGATGGCTACTACTTTGTCGGATTCCTACTTCTCTGCAGGGTACAGGAGGCCTTTACAAAGTCACCAGCTGGGCGAGAGCTCATAAATGTTGAGGATGCTTCAAGAACAGTGATAATATGTTTAAGTTTTCTTGTCACACCAAAACACATTCATTATGGTCTTCACTGCTCAGGCCGGTAGTCTGCTCAGGTAAAAGAAACAACATCACTGCTTAAGGCTCTGCCTGAGATGAAACACATAGGTTTGTCTGAGGGCCATTTTTGTTCTGCACAGAAACAGCCACTAATAGACACTGAACTAAGTGTTTCCCAAGGGCACCCAGGTCAGAAGCATTAGCAATATTAGAAAAAATTTCCCATCTGTTCTGAGCTCCCTAGAACTTGAAATTAAGCTGCAGAGTCAGCATGCTGACTGAGCATATCACAAGCAGAAGAGGAAACAGAACTGTACCAGCATGCTGTCATATGCCAATACAAGTGTGCTAACTGGAATAAGACCAATAGTCAAACATTCCTTCATTTCAGCTCTGTCTTCATGCTTGCATAATTAAGTATGAAGTATAGAAAAACTATCTGTTTGCCAGCCTTCATACCGGTAATTAATACTAGTTGTGTGTCAGATTTTTTTGTTCACAGAAACATGCTATGTCATAAGCTTCCCATAGAAAAAGCCTAAATACTGGTAGTGTCATCATAATGTTTTCAGCAGCCATGAACAATGAAACCCTCTACTGACTTCAGAGTCCATCAAATTCTATCACAATATTGTATATCCTGAAGTTAAAATCAACATATTTAGAAACATCTCAGTTAGTAATGATCCATACTCTTTGTTGTTTGCTTTTCAACTTGGGGTAAACTCTTATTTTTAAGGGTACTGTTGCAATGAACATGCCCAAACATGTTCTGCAACATATGCTGACCATATGGTAATAATGAATTTTCATACAGCAACACAGATACTTTTTAGAGTCTGGAAGAGTCTGAAGAAGGTAAGTCATATCAGTTGCCTTGCATTCACAGGAGATACAACACCCAAGCTTGATATAAATAGAAAGCTAGCATCAATGTCCTCCACATTTACTACAGCTTACAAAATAAAAGGCTGGGTAGAAGATAAATACATACTTGAAGATATGTATTTTGTCACTTCAGTTGTAGAAGTGACAACATATGGCCTGAGAGGTTTATCACAATGATGATCAACTATTCTGAAGGCTACTGCTGGCATTATTACCACTCAATACCACTTGGCCTAAAAGGAAGTTAGCTTAGCCTTGTTCACCAGCCTCTATAAAGTCTTATTCTCAATTCAAAAGAGGAGTGTTGTCTGAAACATCAGAGGCAGGGCTTTGCAGTACCTTGAAACATTTTTCTTATGCTCTTTTAAAATACAAGTATTTTTTATGAGTTACCCTCAGCATCTCTTTTAAACAAGTAGTCTAAGTACTGCTACTTTCAGTGAGCTAGCAGCTCAAGTTAAAACTACAAAAGAACATAAAGTTTAATATATTCTGACATAAGGTTAAGTAACTTCACCACTCAAGACCTAGTTTCCCATTCTTTTTCTTCTAGGCACAGTCATGCTTTCCTTTTACCTCTCTCTCTCACACATAAGATGATAAGAAAGAAGAATATTTTACAAAACTTTTATTTACATAGCTATGCAAGAACCTGGAGGAGAAATAACTTTTCAAGCCATAACTCATTCTTGTACCTGTGTGCAAAATAAAGGCAAGCAGCTCAGGAAGAGGGCTTCTTTCTGGTGTTTCAATTCTAAACTGCTGTCCTATCAAAACCCATTAGTTCCCTCATTTTCAATATAATCAATAGGCTAGAATTAAAACACACTAGCAGTAATACTGTGCCATTACAGCTTCCGTAGTTTTCCAATGTAACAGCTTCTGTAATTTCCACCTTATGTAAATTTCTACTAGTATTCTTTTGAAAACAAAAAAAAAAACCCAGATTTTTCTGTTCTGACTTCCTAATAATGCAGCATCACTAACAAAAGCTAGACAGTTAACATCCCTTTATCATACCTTTCTCAGTGCTCTCACGGGGCTCTGAAGCTTCAGATGCTGATTACATAGCAAAACCCAGATCGAGGGCTATTCAAACAATTAAGAAAAAATCAACAGTCACAGACAAGAACTCTTTCTGTCTGTGGTGCTAACTACAGAGACAGGAGGAATCAATTCTTTCCTAAACAATTTTGAAGCAAATTGATACTCAGTTCCTGAAAGGCTATTAAATTAAATACCTGGACAAACCACCAGACACAATTAATTTTCTTAGTTGCTAGAGGATCATGAACAACTTTCGAAGATAGAGAAACATAATTCAGTCAAGTTCGTATGAAATTTACAGAGCGTGAAAATGTAAAAGCAATGTTTGAGACCAGTCAGCCTACATTAAACTTGTGTATTTGCATGATTGTTAACATATATAACTACTTGTCTTTGAATGACATTTCCCATAAAAAGCTACTTGACTAACCGCCATGAGAATTTTGTATTGGCTATCTAGAAACCACACATTTCCCCTTGAACTCTCTCTCTCTTGCTCAGAGAACATAGCAAGTGAACTGATACAACCTCAAGACATATTAAGGTCAGAATCTCTCTGCAAATACATGGACGTTGACTCATTACTGAGAAAGAAACCTCGTAAGACATCACATTCATAATACCTAGGCAATAGCATTGTATTACTTGATTTATACAGTACTCCTTGCCTTCTGGTGCAGGGATTATGCTTCACCTTCCAAGGGAAATAAGATTAGGTTTTTGCATGCTCAAATGCATGCAAAATGCATTGCCTGAATGGCATAGCTATTTACATAATGAACAGCCTACTGGATCAGTATTCCAACCCTGATCATGGCAACATGAAATGATGCTGTGTGAGACACACAAACTTGCCACATTCTGCCATTCCCTCCATACTCATCCCAGTATCCACAACAATTAACAGAATTCCCAATATTGATTTTTTCAATTCATGAAGCTCACTTCTGTCCATGTATTTGTCTAATCATTTACCAAGAGACTGAAATTGAAAGACTGCTTGTTGATGAGACACTATGACTCTTAAAAGTATTTCAAGAAGCTGATGACTGCTTGTCACTATATCTGAAGATCTTCAAACTTCAACTGAGAGCTGCCCAAGCTAGTACTTTTGGCCCAGTATTTAGAAAGAACTTATCCAACAGACCTGTAAATAAGGAGTTCAAAAAAGGTTACAGTTAAAAAAAGTAAATCCACAAATCCCTGGTCACAATGCTTAAGGATTTACATAAGAACTTGCATTGTTTCAAGAAGAAATTTGCATTCACCTATTCAATTACAAAAGAGTTTAATGAGCTAATATGCCAGAGAATACAACTGTCTGATATTTATTAAGGTACCAATCATATGATAAGAAATGTCTAACACAAATGGCAACAGAAGCCATTAGATCATTTGTCACCATGCCTGAACCAGTACATTTTGCATGGCTGCAGTCTGTACTTTTTAAAAAACATGCAGAGAGTACAGGCTCTGACAGCCAACAGAGATCAATGTTCTGTTAAGAAATAGGACCACCAAAAGTCCACAAGCATTGTCTCCCACACCAATTTAACAGGCCAGAGCATAAATGCAATCCCTGGGCATAAAAGAAAACAAGATGACATACAGATGCTGCCTAGACTTCCAAGATCTTTGGATCATATTATCATATTTATTATTTTATTAACTTCTTTCTAAAGTTCTCCAATAACTCTTCTGCACTTCAGAACAAGTCAACTTACATGACTTGAGAAAAAGCGCTTGAAAGGCCGTTTAAGAACTACTTTTAAATATCAAACCAATCTAGAAGCATTGAACAAATCAACTTTTTGAGAAGGAAATACTTTGCAATAGTCATCACTACATGCATGTAGAGAACATACTCTAGTTGTTCTAGTACATTGTGACAAAGGTCAATGATAGATTTTTTTTCAATTAAATTAATTTTCAAACAGCTACTTTAATGTTCCAGAGTCTGTTTGGAACATAAAGCCCACGTAAAGCATGATGTTTGTCCAAGGCTTCTGAAAATAAGAAGGGAAGTCCATTGTGTCAGTTTCTGCTCTATACATAGAATACGGAAGCCAAATTATGTATGATACCAAAACAGGATGGTGTTCTGATAACAATTATTCTCAAGTTCTTGTGCTGGAGTAAGATAGTCCCCAGTAAACACCTTTTTTTTCAGGAGTATGTAATCCATATGTTTCGGACCTCATGAGTGAGCTGATGTTAAGGGCAGTGCTACCACTAAATAAGCACTGGAAGGTCTCCATTTCCCAGTTTATCTAGATGAGCTTTATTCATAGAGACACTACAAACATGCCCCCTCATACATAAGGTACACCAGTAATTTCTGATATCAGGTTGCAAAATGAAGACTTAATTCTAAAGATGTTCTGACAATGAACTGGGGAGCAGTTATTCAACTTAGTCTGAAGGAGAGTGGCATCCTACTGCAGTGACAAAGGGATGTCATATGAGAGCAAATATGTCCCTGCGGCCGTGGTGACAAGTAGAAGCAAAGTCTCCCTAGAGTGTTGCAACATCAACCCCTTTCCACTCAGGCTTCAGTTAAAACTTTTCATAAGGAGAAGTGTTTATTTAGGGCTGCTGCAGCTACCATTAGACTAACTGGAAACACACTAACCTTCTTAACACACAGTTCCCACCCTTCTCGAAATGCGGGTTCTGCAGTGACGGCTTTGCTACATTCAGTACAAAGGTTACCAAGGAACAAAGGCTAAAGGTTTAGTAAAATTAAACATTAGCTTAACTGCTCTTATGCTTTAAGACTAAGATCACCCCCGCTGAAGACAGAAACCCAACTGGGGGATTTATCCAGCTTTCAGATGCCTTCCTTCAGGCAGGATTAGACGAGATCAGCACCGTTCGCATTAGGATACGGGCACGCCTTCGGCACCTTTAGGGCACATAAACTCTAACCGAGGGAGTAGGGAGGTAGCTCGCCTTGTGGCACACGCACCCAGAACGGCCCTGACCCACTCCCGGACCACCCCCGCGCAGTGGGGCCCCGCTCAGGGCACAGCGCCGGGGCGACCGTCCCGCCGGCACCGCCCCGAGGGACCAGGGGAGCCGGGACCCCTCACCCCCAGCCCCACCCGCCGCCCCCGCAGGGCGTACCCGCGCCCAGGCCCTCGGGACTCTGCAGCGCCTCGGGCACCTCGCCGTTCTCCAGGATGCCGTAGCCCTCGTCGTTCTCGATGCCCGCGATCTCGTTCTCCTGCTGCGCCAGGAACGCGGCGGCGGGATCCTCCTCGCCACCGTCGGGCGCCCCGTTCCCGGCTGGCGACTGCTGCGGCTGCTGGGCACCGAAGAGCTCCATGTCGGCCATGGGCGAAGGCGCGCAGGCAGCGGCTGCTCCGCACCGCGCCTACGCCGGGCAGCAGCGCGGAAGGGGCGGGGCGCCCCTCCTGCGCCAATGAGCGGCGAGCACCGCCGGCTCCGCCCAATCAGCAAGCGGTCGTGGCGGGGTCTGCGGAATACCAGCCAGTCAGCGCCCAGAGAGCAGCGGGCGGGCGGGGCGGGGCGGGGCGGGGCGGAGCGGAGCGGAGAGGAGCGCGGCCCCGGTGCCCGGAGGAGCTGGGCGGCAGCGGCGGGCTGCGCTCCAGCGGGATCAGGTCCGTCGGGCTGCGGCGGGAGCGGGTTCGTCTCTGCCAGCCTGCCAAAGCACAGGTGCTCCGCTGTCCGACACGAGTCCGTCGGCAACTTGGAGACAAATTCGAACCCGCAGATTAAGTCCGAAACATCGGTTCCGTCTCCTGATTTTGGCTGTCTTCTCTCTGACACAGAGAAGCTTAAGTCACAGAAACACAGAAAGTGTCAGGTTGGTAGGGACCACAGTGGATCATCTGGTTCAATCTCTCTGCTTAAGCAGGGTCATCCCAGATCATTTGGCACAGGACTGTGTCTATATGATTCTTGAATATCTCTACTGAGAGAGACTTCACACCCTCTCTGGACAATCTGTTCCAATGCTCAGTCACCCACACAGTATAGTTCTTTCTCATATTCAAGTGGAATTTATTATGCATTAGTTTTTGACAGTTGTGTCATGTCCTAGGTGCTGGCACCACCAAGAAAAGCCTGGCTCCGCACTCTTGACACCCCTGCCTTTTGATATTTACACACATTGATGTGTAACCAGTCAAACCAGTGTGACTTTGGGAAGCATGTGTTCCATTAATGATGTGTTGACAAAATAGTCATTGGAAGGCCAGTGATTTCTGATGCAATTTTTTTGACAGTTGCTTTGATTAGTTCCTGTATCTGGCTTATAACACAGATAGAATCATACAGCTGTAGAATGTTAAGGGATTAGAATGGACTAAAAGATCATCTAGTCCCAACTCCTGCTGCCTTGGGCAGGGAGACCTTCCACTAGAGCAGATTGTTCCAGGCCTTATCCGACCTCGCCATCAACATTGACAGGGTTGGGCCATCCACACCCTCCCTGGGCAACCTGTCTCCCTGCCAGAAAACTAAAGAATTTCTTCCAAAAATCTAACTAAATTTCCCTCTTTTCAGTTTGTACCCATTACCCCTTGCCCTGTCACTCCTGATATTGACTTCCTCTCCAGTTTCCCTGTAGTACCCTGCAGATACCGTCAGGTTGCATAATCCTCTCCAACTTCCTCAGCCTATCTTCGTAGAGGAGGTGCTCCAGTTCTCTTACCAGCATTGTGGCCTCCTCTGGACTTGCTCCAACTGTCCCATGTCCTTCTTATGCTGAGGGAATTGGAGCTGTGTGCAGTACTCCAGGTGGGGGACAATTGCCTCCTTTGACCTGCTAGCCATGTACGTATTTTTATGGCAAAGCAGAGAGGTGAAAGGAAAGGAAAATACTGCTGTAAGAAAGGAGAAAATGATGCTGGCAGCCCTCAAGCTGGTGCAGTTGCTGCAAGAGATACTTGTTTAATTCCACTTCCATGTTGCCTATAAGTCTGTTTGTACATTTCATGAAATATTACAGGTAATGCCATCCAGGCGTTTTTTATAGTCCCCAACAAGGGTTCAGACGTATTTCAGAAGGAGGCCACATTCAGAGAAAAATTTAACTCTGAAAGACAGTTGTCTCCCATGTGAATTTAATGGGAGATAAACCACATGCTGAGTAACACTTTTCCCCCCCATCAATATCATTTGCTAGAGAAAAAAGCACAGGTAAACTCCTGTAGTATGACAGAGAGCTCCCTTCACCTCATTTATTCAAATGAAACATGTGCCTAGTTTCTCCTATGAAAACTCAGAATCTGGTATGGTAGGAGGCTAGACTTTCCTGAATTTTGTCTATCACAGAAACCCAGCAATGTTATTTATTTTAAATAATCTACAGCTGCCATGGGAAAGCTAAAGAATTAAAAACAACAGCAGTAAGCAGGCCCATAACTCAAAACAGGAGATGATCAAAATGAAATACCATCATAACTCACAAAAGGAGATGACAAAAACGAAATACCATCATGAAGTATATGCCATACTCTCACAGAAACTTGCTGACTTTTTTCCACAAGTTCTTCTAAAAACATACTCCCACGTTCATTTTCATCACACTCCTTTCCCTATATGTAAATAAAAGTAATATTGCACTGCTTCCCTTTAACTATGACTAGTGGATTTTGGATGACTGTCTAGCTATTTCCTCTTTTGCTTTACCACTGACTCTTAGCCCTCTGGGGGATTTCTGATGGCACAAACACAAGTAGGACATTGTGATTTAAAATGAAAAGCAAATCCGGTTACTTGCTTGTCTAAAAATTGCAGAATAGGGATTAAGGAATATGAAATATAAGCAGAATTGTAATTTTTCAAATGGCCCAAGAAAATTATTTTCTGTGTTCCATCAGAATGAGTGACTGAATGTTATTGCTTTAGATGCAAAGGAAAATATAGGGAGCCATTAGATCTGTTTTGATGATGAATACAAAAAATTTTATATTATCTATAATTCATATGCACTGAAAAATCTATTAATCTATTATTACTTTCCTGTAAAAGAAGTCAAGATACCTCCTTTTCTAAAGGCAGGTGTTACTTCTTAGAGAGAAGTACAAAACATAAGAGTAGCATATCCTCTGTTATTCATCCATCGTGGCTTATTGATATGTCACACTGGGGAGAAGAGTTTATTACCGAAATACTAGATGAATAAACCCTCATGGAAATATGAAAAGGCAAACAGACTACAAAGGAGTGTCAGGATTGTTCTGTTTCTCTCCATTCTTTGAATGATTATGACATTTAATTCCAGTTTCTATATGTACTGAGATTTGGTTTAGAAGTAGTTTAAAAATATGTTTTTGAGCATTCATGAAAACATGGGTTCGCAACTCTGCACTTCCAACATTAAGAAAATCGTTACAGCAGGGTAGTGGGATTTCTCTGATTCTTTCACAATGTTTTTGATTTAAGAAATTAAATAATTAGTAGAACAAATGTTTCTAGAGAAAAAAAATTGAAATGCAAGTCGTTACAACACTCTGTAAGGATGCAAATGAGAAAGACATTGCACAGATGACATCTGGACATGAATCACTTCTCAGGAAATCTCTCTAACTAGAAGCTCCCTGCATAAGAGCCCGTAGTTGGCGGCAAGCTGAAGATGAGAGTACACAATGACTAGGACTTGGTCCAGTTCCACTGAAATCAATTAAGAGGTTCCCTCAAACTTCTGATGGCTAGTGACTTTCAAGATGTAGACTTAAGTTAGAAAACCCTCCCAGCTTTTCACCTATGAGCAGTATCAGAAAGATGGTGCCACTTGGGGTCAGATTGCCACTCCTTTGCAAGATACAAGAGCCAAAAAGAACTGGTTTGAGAGGCACATAAAGCTACAAGCATCCGTCTGTGGCATAACAGCTACCCTGCACATCACTTTACATCAATCTGGAAGCTCCCTCAAAGCAGATTTGTAAAGGTCACTGCCCATACACTGACTTAGGGACTTAGAGCTACAATTAACAGTTCTACTAAATGGGTTCATGAAGACTAAAGCCCACAAAGAAAACATTCGTGCACGTCACTGCCATTCAGGTCAAGTCCGTCTGCACTACAGACTCATACTGCAGCTGTTCACCTTGTTTTGATGGAGCTGGATTTAAAGCCAAGCCAGAGTCTATAACTCATATTGACAGTAGCAGCTTAAATAAGCCATCTGCCTACTCTGACTGCCTCAGAAGACCAAAGAGCAATTCTCTTATTCAGACAATCAAATTGGAGACATGTTTATCACTACAACATGCAAAGGAAACCAGTCTTTTAATATATGGAGTTCTCATCCTCAGAAGAAAGGCAGGTTTTTCATGAGAGAGGCTCCTTGGGTGCATCAAGTCACCTGCTAGGCAAGAGAGTTTAAAGTGGTCCACCCTTACTTCACATGTATATACACAAATGTCTTCTGCTACAAGACCTCCAGTACCACAGCAAGACACACTGCTTTCAGTCTATCAAGCTGATTTGCTGCCATGAGAATTTAATTAGATGGAGGAATAAAGAGAGGCTGCTGGTAGTATCCACACTGTTAAACACAAACATCCCAAGATAAGAAGCGCAGTTGCTTTCTAAGGAACACCCAGTAGTCAGTAAAATAAGGAACATACTTTATAACTAATAACTAATAAACGTGTGGTGCTATGCTGTGTTTTTGTTGCTCCAACAGCTGTATCTAATCATCACAGCTGTGCATTCAAACAGAATCTGAGTAAGCAGAGAATAGACATTGTTCTCTACCTAAGGGAAGGAGAGAGCTGCACAAAGATAGACTGAAGGGTTAGACTGTCAGAGCAGAACAGTAGTAAGTAATATGACAAGAAGAGTATAAAAAGGCAGGTTTGCAAATACAGGGTCAAGATACTTGAAATTATATGAATTATAGAGTAAGCAGTACCATGAAGGTAAAGTCTTGCCAACATTTTGTATGGATAGAGTGGGCGTCTCCTTAATACAAAAGTACTTCAGTCTTTTAATAATCTTTGTTGTCTTGCCCTGGATTCACTCCAGTATGTTCATGTCTTTCTTGTTCTGTGGACCCAAAACTGGATTCAGCATTCCACATGTGCTGAATGCAGAGGAAGGATCACTTTCTTTCAGGTACTTTTGCATTTTTCTTCATGAGGTCATATTGCTGGTAGATGATAAGCTTCTTGCTCCCAAAGACCCCAAGGCCCTTCCTTGCCAAGCTATTCTCCAGCCCCCAGAATGTACTGATGGCTGTATTTTTTTTCTATCCCAGTGTAAGACTTTGTATTTCCCATTGTTGAGCTCTATGAGTTTCCCCTCTGCCCAGTTTATCAGACTACCAAGGTCCCTATCAGTGGCAGCACAACCCTCTGATGTAACAGTCACTCCTCCTGGTTTTGTATAATATGTGA